ACTGTTGTTGACATCTGTTTGACTGTAACAGATGGAAAAAAGATGGAAAACAGACTGGAGAAAGATATGCATGCTTTTAGTGTTTCTTGTTTGGTATATGCCACCTACTGTCAGGAGATGATCTTGTTAAAGGACCTGTTTGGCATTACTGGTGTATGTTATTCCTGTCTGCTGAATAGTCTTCATACACCTCTTCTGCTGGCCCTCTAGTTGGCTGGAACAGCTTTTAAGCCAAGTTCAAGGAACTGACTGGCTTAAACCAAGCTACAAGTAACACCAGAAAAAAGAAAAAAAAATCATGACATTTGCTTCCACAACTAAAAGAAAGAAATGGTGTTAAACCTGCAAAGCTTAAATTAGCACAGCCAAAATGTATTACAAACCACAGCTCTAGTTTATCCATGTGAAACATTTAGAGTAGACAGTGACAGCACGATCTTTTGTACATAGTGCCAAAATTTCTGATACACCACCTGATAGCAAAATCTCTGTGAGAAATAACTGTTGTAGTTTCTTCTGATCTGTATCTTCTGTTTCAGTTGAAAGCTATGCTATGTTAATTGTAACGGGCTGCTAGGAAAAAAATCTCTCTGCTTGCTGTAAGCTTATGTTCCATGGTAGTTCTTTTATGTTGTATGTGGTTTGATAGCTGTGGGTCTAGTAGTTCTTTCCTAATTTTCATATTTTCATGGAATGACTTTATTTCTAATATACTTCTTCAAACTGCCACAATCTTGGTGAATGTTTTTTTTTTCAGTTAAGTCTTAATGCTCTTTTCCAAACTTAGAAAACGTAGTGTGATACTCTCCCAGAGTTCCAGCAGTTATTTCTTAGGACACTCACACAAATTTGTGAAGGGATAACATGACTGCAGGTATGTATATAGAATTGTAGAATCATAGAACAGTTAGGGTTGGAAAGAACCTTAAGATCATCTAGTTCGAACCCACTGCCATGGGCAGGCACACCTCACACTAAACCATGTCACAAATACACTAAACCATGTCACTAAACCATACCACCAATTGCTGAATGGTCCTTCCAAATCTAATTCACTTTCCAGGTGTGCCTTGTATTCCTTTTGTCTTTTCTAAGACTTGTACTAAACAAAGACTTATACGAAACTTTTAGAATCATAGAATCATAGAATAGTTAGGGTTGGAAAGGACCTTAAGATCATCTAGTTCCATCATAGTGCGGTGCCTATTATATCATACCCCTGTAGACGTGCACACATCTCCACATCTCTAATTCCTCTTGTTTGTTCGCCATGCTACGGGCATTTGTATAGAGGCATCTGAGCCGAGATCCAACTGAAGCCGGCTCATTGGCTGGAGTGGCTGGAATATCTCTACATTGCTCCGAGCATTTATTATAGGTTCTGGCAACTGACTGGGTGTGTTGGGATGGAATGATGCCCCCCTCCCCAACACATCTAGTTTAAAGCCTCCTTGACCGGTCTGGCAAGCCTCCTACCGAAACTGCTCTTTCCCTTAGACCAGCTCCACCACCCCCCGTTAGACCTGGCCTACAAACTTGGGTCCTGTGTTCAAGACACCCAAACCCCTGACTATGACACCACCCTTTTAACCCTTTATTAACCTGGCTGATCATCCTAGATTTTTTTAGGTCCTCCCCTGTATCCTGGAGAATTGACAAAAAGACTATCTGAGCTCCAGAGCCCCACCAGAACCACCTCCTGCAGGGCTCTGTAGTCCTTCTTTATGTTCCCTAGGCTACTACTGTCTATATCTCTAGCACCCACATGTACCACCAGAAGTGGGTAATAGTCTGTGGGACTTACTAGAGCAGGCAGCCTCTCTGCCACATCCCTGATCCGTGCCCCAGGACTTTAAAGACTTTAAACTCTTTAAAATTAAAAACTTCTAAAACCCATTTAAACTTCTACATTGTCCTGGTAGAATAAGATTATTATAGGAATCCTTTGGTTGTTGGTGACACGGACAATTCAAGGAATATTCTCCAGTGACTATCCAAAAAGAGACTTCTGCAGAGGTCTTGCACCCCTTGGTGCAACTTAAGGCCATTTCCTCCTGTCCTATTTCTTCTTACTTGGAGAAGAGACCAATGCCCACTTTGCTACAACCTCCTTTCAGGTATTGTATTTGTTACTTTTTTGAATGAGTAATTAATTATGGGGATGTTCATAACTTCACTGTGACCACTGCCAGGAATCAAACACAAGTTAGCACCTAAAAACACAAGTGCACGTTTGGATTCAATAAAGCTATTCAATTTATGTCTTTACTGAGCAAGTCACAAGGGGACTTGTTCACCCAGCAATCTGACATAGCTTACATGCTTGTTTCTCTTAGTGCAAATTTTGTCCCAGCAGTTTTGATCTGATTTGCCTGAGTGATACTTTAGTTGATAAATTGCTGAAAGCCTAAATTTCTGAGAAATGTGGAGGAAAGGGACAACGACAGCGTAAAGTCTTCACTGAAAGTCCACTTTTCCAAATGGCTCTTTAGTAAGGAGCAGAGGAGGGAGATGTCAGCAGGAATGGAGAGAATCAATCTATGTTTTCCTCCCATTTGTCTTCCTGTGCAGATCTCTTTCTATACCGGTCTTATGCTAATAATTTGAAACCTATTTCTTGTCTTTTTACTTTCTCTTGTCTAGAATTCTCTGTCATGCCTAGCCATTCATCTTTTCTAAAAGGTCAGATGCTTTTTGGGATAGATCATGGCTTTGACTATATTTATGAAACATTCTGTAGATCTTCAGTTCTGCTAAGTTAAATAATAATCAAAATGAAAATAAGAGCAAGGAAAGAAAAATGTGGAAAGGGGGGTAAATCAGCTTAATCAGGGACTGGTAGTGGCAGGACAAGGGCTAATGGGTTAGAACTTAAACAAGGGAAGTTTAGATTAGGTATAAGGAAGAAGCTCTTTACTGTGAGGGTGCTGAGGCACTGGAATGGGTTGCCCAGGGAAGTTGTGAATGCTTCATCCCTTGTAGTGTTCAAGGCCAGGTTTGACAGAGCCTTGTGTGACATGGCTTAGTGTGAGGTGTTCCTGCCCATGGCAGGGGGGTTGGAACTAGATGATTTTAAGGTCCTTTCCAACCCTAACTATTATATGATTCTATGATTCATATCTTTGTTTCACCTGCTGGTGAACTTTTAACTGCAAAATAAAATCAAGACTGAAATGCACACACCCCCAGTACTTGACTAAAATCTATGTTGTTAACTAAGATAATGAGAAAATGATAATGACTGCTAATAGATTATTCATGAGAGAATACAGTATTTCCTGATGAGCTTAATCCAAAATGCAATCGCAATCTTTGAAGCACACTACACAGAAAACAAAAACCTATGAGTTTTATGCCAAAATATATCAGATGACAGGAGAGAAAAAGGACTTCTTTTTCTAATGGACTCATTTCCACACTTGAATTCTATCTAAGCTGAATTGTGGCTTCCACTTCTGATTAAAAAAAAACAACAAAAAACCCAAAAATGTATTCACCATGTTTCTTTGTTTTTGTTTTTTTTTTTCAAAAATTACAAGCAGCTAGGGAGGTTTAGGTATATTATACACCAAAGACTATATTTAAACCTGCATCAAAAAGAAAAAGGGGAAGGGGGTAAAGAAGTGCTTAAACATTTGAAATCATATTAAGTAGTTTGGTTATGAGACAATACAGTCTCATATACAGTTCAGTGCAATTCTACCTGTTGGAAAGGGTTAACTTCACATTTTATGGGTGTCCTGGGTTCAGCAGTAGCAGTCATTTTTCTCCTTCTTAGTAGCTGGTGCAGTGCTGTATTTTTGACTTTCAGCCTGGGAACAACACTGATAACACCAATGTTTTTAGTTATTGCTCAGTAATGTTTAGTCTGACCAAGGACTTTCTGAGTCTCGTGCTCTGCCAGGGATGAGGGGAAGTCAGGAGGAAGAAGAGACAGGGCACCTGACCCAAACTAGCCAAAGAGGTATTCCATACCACAGCATGTCATGCCCACTATATAAACTGGGTGCAGTTAACCAGAAGGGTTAGGTCATTTCTCAGTCAGGCTGGGTATTGGTCGGTGGGTGGTGAGCAGTTGTATTCTCTTCCCTTGTTGTTTTCCTTATTATTATTATTGGTAGCAGCAGCAGTGATTTGTGTTATACCTTAGTTACTGGGCTGTTCTTATCTCAACCTGTGGGAGTTACATTCTTTTGATTCTCCTCCCCATCCCTCTGGGAGTGGGGGGATGAAGCGGGGGGGGGGGGGGGGAAGTGAGCGAGGGCTGCGTGGTTAGTGAGCGAGGGCTGCGTGGTTGAATTGCCAGCTGGGTTTAAACCACGACAATGGGCTATCTTGTCATGCTATTCCTCTTTCATTTACATTAAGTATACCTATTTGAAATATTTCATAATCACAATAGAACAGAATCTTTGAGGGAACTTGCATGCAAAAAAGCCTGAAGCATTTATTCAGTTCTAGGGTCAGAGACTTGCTCAGTAGGGTGTTTTTCAGATCCCACTTGTGGAACACCTAAATTCCACTGAAATCCTCATACAGGAACCTGAATTCCTTCTTTGTATTTAGCTTTTGCTGACCATAACAGAAATGTGACTTTATATCCTAGAGTACCCCCTCAAGCCAACAAAGGAACTAACATTCTGGGAGTAGACTCTATTCTATATCTTTTAATGTCTTTTCTCCTTCTACCCAGCCTAATTATAAACTTTTCCCTAATTGTGGGAACATGTAGCTGCCTTTGGATTTCTGGGCCCTGGCAGTAGGAGGAAGCAAAGAAGGCTGTTACCAAGGCTGCAGGTTGTGTTTCTGGCACACTGCAGTGGGGCTGTTTATACATGTATGGATGCAGAATTATTTGGTATGTGATGTAAATCCATTGGTCATTAGTCATATGTTTGGGGATTTAAGGCAAAATCCCACATGGCTGGAGGCTTTTGCTAATGTAGGAGAAGACAGAATATCATTTTGGACTAAGAACTGCCTAGGCCAGTCAAGAAAAGAGCATTTAATTTCTATTCTTGCTACAAGCATCCTGAAGTTCCTAGTTCACAGGCATCTCTTTTGGGACCGTATCATCAGTATGCCTGATATCCAAGTCTGCTTCAGGGAGATCTGCATCAGCAAGAGAAGTATTTGCTTACTGCTCAGCTCACCCCATGCATTGTTTACAGTGTCATAGCAACGCCCCTTTGCTGGGAGACATGCAGCAGAGGCAGGCTGCCCTGGTGCAGACCAGCACTCACCAGCCAGGTCCAAGAACTCTGCAGCTTCTATTTCTGGTCTGCAGTAAAGGATTTCACCTTTGCAAATGAGATTGTAATCTTGTAGATGTGGGTGCTGGCCCTTACGTGTGTAGATCCAGGATGCAGTCGAAGAGGCTAACCACTGGTATGTAGTACTTCCCACGCAGGGGGATGGACCGAAACTATGTCAGACAGGGGGTCTGACCCAAGGGTGATTGTCTTAGGTACAGAGATGGTGATACAAAAGGGGGGGATTTTGAACTGCTAGGTTTAAATTCAGTAAAATTCCTTCATCTCAAGACAGAACTTTATTCCCTTCAGATGTAATCACGGAAGGCAGAATACTCTTCTAGAATGAGTGAGATTTTGATATCTGGTAACACCAACAATCACATTTTTAAAATTTTATCATATGATTCATAACATTTGCTCTTCGAGGCTCCCCCAGTCTCATAGAAATCTATATTTTCATTAAAAACCAGCAAGATTCTAGTAATCAATTTTGCAGAGCAAAGCTGACAAGTTAACTGATACGTATGAGAAATAATCTAGTTAAATAATACTTGAATTATATTTAAATCATTCTTGTGGTAGATTTTTTATTTAATCCTTTTATCCTTTTTATACATGGGTCAACATTACTGCATGTTCTTAGAGTTTATTTTATTTCCTCAGGCTAAGTTATTTTATTTAAGAATATCCAGGAAGGTTGTCATGCCTCACTACTTTTTGTTTCTGTTCAGTAATCATAGTTGAACAAGCTTGACTGTATTGCTTGAATAACATATTTCATTTTTGTATTTCAGAGCCTCCATGTATAACAGAAGAAGTGTTTGTAAGTATGCTTTATAAAGCTTGATCATTCATTTTGTCATGCAACTGTAGAACACAAAAAGCAAAAGACATTTTTGGAAACTGTTGCCTGATTTCTCAATTCTTTCCTCTCTGTAAGTATGGAGTACTGAGCAATTTCTTGCTATTTTTCTCAGACAAAAAAAAAATTACTTAGTTTGAAAATAATTAGAATGTAAAAAGTAACAGGAAACTATGGAGAAGACGGATGGAAATGAAAAGGAAAGTGAAATATGATGAAGGAATGAAATCATGAGCTCGAATGTTCAACATGACAGGTTTAACAATCTTCTTTATCTTTTCTGCTCTTTGCTTCTAGCTCATTGTAGGATTTCTCTGTTGTTTGCCTTTTTTACCTTATTTGTTACTCTGTTGTTTTACCTTATTTGAAGTGGCACAAGCAATGGATGAGAGGAAATGGCCTCAAGTTGCATCAGGTGAGGTTTAGGTTGGGTATTATGAAAAATTTCTTCACAGAAAGGGTTATAAAGCATTGGAACAGGCTGCCCAGGGAAATGGTAATAAAGAATAAACTAAGTATTCAGAATAAAAAGAATACCCCCCCAAGAATAAAATTAGTCTTTAAAACTAATTTTTGTTGTTGTTGTCTGAGAAAATACTATGAAATGACTCATTACTCCATACTTACTTGTTTGTAGTGGTAAATACCTCCAGAAGGAGTCACCATCCCTGGAGGTATTTAGAAGATGTGTAGACATGGCACTTAGCGACATGGTTTAGTGGTGAACTTGGTAGTGCTAGGTTAATGGTTGGACTTGATAACCTAGAATGTGTGAATATGCAAGTGCAACTATGCTTTCAAATGAAAATAAGACTGACCCCAAAAAAACCCTTCAAACACCAGAGGACAGTATATTGTGCATAGATGCAGTAAGATCAGTAAGTAGCAAAGCTTGCTTTAAAAAGATCATAAACATTTTATTGATTAATCAACCACTGTGTTTACATTTCTTGCTGTTATATGAGACTGCAGAGAATTATATCCTTAGCAAATTAAAAACACATGTTACCTGTATATTCTTAAGGAGCTTATACTTCAGCCAGTAATAAATGAGTTGTTTTGAGTAAGTCTTTCAACACAATATTTTAATGAGATATTATGATATCTGGTTGTCTTCAGATTCATGCTTATCAGTGTCAAATCTAATTTTGCATTGCCCAAACCAAACATAAGGCACACTGAAGCTTGTTTAGATTTTTTTTTTTTCTGTTGTTATTATTAATTATGTTAACACTTGCTGAATTGAGATTTCTGGGTCTGATTGATTGCCTAGTGACATTAGGGAGAGGATTTTCTGTTGACTTCAAAATGTTTTGGGTTAGACACTTTGGTAAATTCTCCTATTTAATCAATGCCCTAACATCTCTAGGTCCATGGTACTGCAAGTGCATTGGACCGTGGTCCTGTGATCCAAAAACCCCACTATCTCCGTTATGCAGGAAACATTGCTTTCAGTGTTGTATCTTCCAGGAATAAACGTGAGCTAACTTGCCTGTCCTGTATCACTCCCAGCAGCAATCACAAATGCCAAGGAATAAGTGTTGTCAGGTTAAAGCCAGACAAACACTTTTAACTTAAAGAGAAAAAGGATTTGTCACAAGACCTTTGCTGATATTCGTAAATACATTTGATTTGGGTGAATTCTCCTTGTGTTGCAAGACAGGAATAATAGAATATTCAAGAATCTGAAACTATTACAAACATTTAGGAGTCTTCATTATATTGAAGATAGATTTCTGAAGACCAATGAAATAATGTTCTACTTCTGTCTTCCGTTGAATGGAAATGGGGGCTTCGTGATTTTCAGCAGCGAAAAACATTGATTTTTACTGTGCAGTTTTTGACTCTGATTAGCAGGATTTATAATGTAGGGGTCAGAACAGGTACAAAACCCACCTGCAGATGTAGTCTTTACTTCTGACGAGGTCAACAGGAAACATTTCAGTTCTGTCAAAGAGATGGCATACACTGCTTGCTGGTGAGCCAAATTATAGATCAGTGACCTCCCTTTTATTTCCAAACATCTGCCAAAACATCTCCAAGCAGCAGTGTGGAAGCAGAAGCAGGCTCTAGTGAATGTTTAGACTCTTCTTCTTCCCAGATGCAAGAGAGAAAGGTTTAATGTTGGGAATTTCTAGACTCTTCGCTTAATGCACATTTTTTCGAAAGTAAATGAACAGATTTCCAGCACTTAGAAGCTGTTGGGTTTATGAAGGCTTTATCTGTAAATTTCTTGGCAAAGGATTTACCTTCATGTGTGTTTTTAAATTGCTAAGGGCCTCAGCAATGTGCAATGGCTGGAATACAACAACGATGCAATGATTATATTCTCAAAAGTGGGAAACAACATTTTGCAAAAGTTTACATGTCATATCTCATGGAAAAAACATTGAGGCAATAGTGCATTCAAACCATGTTAGTGCACATTAGTACAAGCTTTGCTTTGTGTTTTTTTTTCTCCATAGGAGGAATTCTTAGCCACAGATGATACGCTTGTGGAATACTTTAATGAATTTTTGAGTCTTCCGGTAAGTACCTTACAGAAATCCCTTGCAAAATATAAGAAACACCTGACTAAGATTAAATCAGCTTAAAATATTTTGCATTTTTCTACTGGGTAGTTAAATGACTTATACAATATATCTGTATTTTAATGGTAGCAACTCTTATTGTTTAATGTTATTATCAGTGTCAGGAAAAATAACAGTATCTGCACTTCTGGGGACAGATATTGTCTTGTAAGTTAACATATTTAAATCATGGCGCACTAAAATAATATGGATTGGAAATGAAAAAAACACATAAATACTTATTTAAATAGTATGAGGAATCCACATCTACTCCAGTATCACAACAAGCCAGCATAACAAATGTTTGTCCTTTTGCATTATTCTGGCAGTGCACTCGGTGATTAATAAACATTTTAGCTCAGAAACCAATTCTGTTTCTCTTCATGGCTGTGCAGGTCTCAAAGGTGGCATGCCTCTTCCTCTCCCATCTGCAGCTGGAAGGATGCAGCCTTACACCGTAGTTTGTGTGCTGATCTGGTTGCAGCTAGACCACTGTACCCAGTGCCCTATATTTAACCAGTTGTCCTATATTTTTCTCCTTTTCCTCATCAACTACCCTTCCTCCCCACACTGTTGTGACAGATGTACTGTCCTGCTCCCTTGACATGGCAGCCTCAACTTCATTTTAGTAGTCTTGGCCCTGACTATCCCCATTCTTTCCGTCTCCACACCTCACATCCCTATTCTCCCTCAAAGTGGCACAGACCTTTCCACAGCATAACTCATGGCTCCCGTGGGGTCTGATCTGAGGCAGAGCTGTCCCATGGTATGTGCCCTCCCAAAGCACTGCAGTCCAACAGGCTGTACTGTGAGAACATACACCTATTTCTGCAATTTGCTTGGCAGGAACCACCACCAGCATTAGGAAGGGGCAGTATATTTTTTGATGCTCCTTGGACTTAAGACTATGGTGTAGCCACCATTGGAATAAATTGTTATGATTCAGGCTTATCAAACTGAACTAGACACAGATGTGCTCTCTAAGCCACATCACAGATTTGTGTAAAAGTACACATAATGGGATTTGCAGAACTAAGGATGGCAGAATGGACTCTCCATACCTATTTTTTATCTTAAAATAAAATCTGGAGGTATTAACTCTGTATCAGAATGTGGGGTTTATGCACAGCAGCGATACTGACTTCCCTGAGGAGACTCAGCCTTTTCATATTTTCACCACACTGCAAGATTCCTAAGAATAATTTTTACAAAGCTAGGGAGACACAGATGGAAGAAAATGTGTGTGAGAGGGCTGTTCCCCCCCCCCCCCCCCAGCCCTTGCAGCTGTTCTAGAATATCTGTCTAAGTGTAAGCCTAACTACATAGCTTTTAAACCCAGGCCTCCTTCCTTGTGCCAGATTGTTCTTAGCACAGGAATACCATCCTCCATGCCTTTGCTGCTTATTTGGAAACTATGCTTCAAGTTTTCCTCAAATCACAAAGGACAGAGTGGGTAAGAAGTTCAGCTTCTTAGTTTCTGGGTCTCCCTGGATGTGCACAGATCTCAAAACGTTTATTAGAGGCCAAAATTCTCCTTGGCCTCAGAGGGCTCCTCAGCCCCTAGTCTTGGCGCAGCTCAGCAGCTCTGAACTGCAGTGATTGTCCAGGCATTCCTGACCGCTCTGGAAGCCCACAGAAAAGAGTTTACAGACACTCTTGAGTAAACACTGTTTTATGCTGGTAATCTTGTTAGGTTTCTAAGATGACACATGGTCTCTATTCTATATATTGACATATCTTCATGAAAGCATGCTCTATTAGCTACTTTTATCCGTAATGTTCTCATAAATGTTTTTATTTTCTTTGACCTTTTCCTGAGGATTTACCCTCTTCAGGATTAAGTTCTATTAATGCCTGAGTTCTGTGGTTTGAATACCTTATATTCCCAAGTTCCTTCTCCTTCTCAGAAGGCTTCTACTAAAACACCACATTGAAATTTCCATTGCTTTATTCTTGTTGTATTTATATGCAGTTGCCTGGGAACAGTATTACCCAGGTGTGCTAGTAGTTAGGCAACAAGTTAAACTGAAAATATTGTGTGACTTGATACCAGAAATCAGGGGTAGCATATGCTTATTTTAAGGGACTGCCTCTGCATTGATTTATAATGCACCGGTAGTGTATGGAAAATTGTATTACTGGGGACTTGCTGTAGCAGCAGCAGATCAGGGTTGTTTTGTTTTTTTTTTTCTTTGATTTACAGTATATCCTTTAAGTGATCCTGTTGTTATAATAATATTCAATACAATCTGACATGAATATCTAGGTACTCCAAAGCTCTATATACTGTAATGAAGGATAGTTTGTACAGAAAATACTTATGAAAGATAAAATAATACAAAAACCCTCATGAGGGCACTTGTTGCCAGTAGTACAATGACTTCACAATAGCAGAAACCAATTACGTGACACACAATCTAGTAAGTAATCTAAAATGAAAGATTTGAGAGAAACATTGGCAAGAATACACTTCCATTTCTAGCCTGATAGGCATCCCTACAGTTTGAATCTTTTATCCATGTATCTAAAACATCCAGTTTTAATATATTCACCCAAGAATGAAAATTCAGAAGCCAGGAATGAAAATTCAGAAGTCAAGAATGGCCATCCAGCTCAGTGTTGGAGGCTTCAGTAAGAAAGTGCAGTAATGTCAACTTTTTTCTCCTGAACTTTGTAAGCTGACTGCTACTTGCTCTACTCCAAGTCCATGCTGTGGCCTTACCTCGTAATTTTCCAGTTACCACTGATCCTGATGAAGGCACACTCCTCCTCTTTGCAACCTCAGGGAGTTGCACTAGCAACGAAAGTGCTAACTGTACTTCATTTGAAGCATATTCAGGAGATGACACTTTTGGTGGCAAATCCCTGGCTGTGGGTTTTGCTTGCAGCAGAAAGCTACCAAGGGATCACAGTTTCATCAACTTCAGATTTGAAGACTACTTCTTTTGAAATTGTTCTCATTATAAAAGCTCTCTGCTGAGTAGTCAGGATCCAGAATTTGGTGCAGGTGATGATTCTGAAAACAATTAAAGCCCAAGTAATAAACTTTGAGTGAATTGGTCTTTCTGAAAGCAGAATGGTCCTGAAAACCTGGTGCTCTCAAGAGCAGAAACAGCCCTGATCTACAAAGTAGCAAAAGATGGAAAGGACAGAAAGCAATCCACTGTGCTGTATAGTTCCAGCCCTTCTCTGTTTTGAAGATGGCTGTGACTAATTTGATGCATCAATGCATCAATTCAAAGCATCAGTGCATGCTCATTAGTTTCCTCTTGTCTTTTCTAGGTGTGTGGAGGGAGGTTGCAGGTGCCAATGCAACCTCCCTTAAAAAGGCTTTACATTAATAAGGCCCCACATGCATATTATGTCAAGACTCAGGACTAGAACTTGCTTGATATCTTTGACATTCAAGAAAGCAAAAGAAGCATGTTTTACTTTTTTTCTTGTTGATAGTGGGTTTATTCAAAATGTTAATTAGATTGTGATACGTAATTGTGACCTGTGTCTTACCCATCAATGGAAAGGAAATCCTGGACTCATTAAAGTCAAAGGGAGATTTGCCACTGGCCATCTGCAGTGTGAATTTTCCAGATACTTCATAGAACTGCTCAAATTCTCTTCTGGTCTGGACTCTCACTGACATTTAATTATGCTACACACACCCCTGTCTTAAGGAAGTTTTGGCAAAGCTCCTTGATGAGGCCTCTATTAATTCCCACCCTTTCAAGGCCTTAACCTAAGAGGCAGCCAAGCTGTGGTCATTCTATTTCTCCTGGAATCTAACTGCGTTGTTTGGGGCGGGATGTAGTGAACGTATTTACACTTTGTTAACTGTATCTGAAGTTATCTGAAAACTGTTAAGGCAGAGAACAGTGAGATTTATACGCCTGACATCCTCGTAACATGGTGATGGATGCTGTTTTGGTTCCTGTTTTGGGAGGACTGAGAGAAATTTGCCTTCCCTTCAGTTAAATGTATAACTTCAGGTTTCAGAATTATGTATTCTATTTATTCTTCAGCTGAAACCATATTCAATGTGCATTTGACAGTTAAATTTCTTTGCTGTCAAAAATGTACATGCAATGGTTTATTTATTTAATAGTATTGCTGTAATACAATCTGAAAACTGCTTTTTGTTGTTTGCTTGGAGATTTTTTTCTGATGCTGAGGTTACCACACTGAGTTACATTGTTCATACTGAGTTCAAGGGGAGAATTGTCTGAGTGAAACAGTTTGCAAAATCAGCAGACCTCTTATTTGTTGGTATTCTCAAGTCCTAGTTGATCCTATTTATTGTGTTAAATTCATAATGTATGAATCCCAAGCTTCAAGGCTCCTGCCAAACCATATTTATTTTTTCTTAACATCTTGAGGTATAATTTGTCTCTGGAGTTTTCCTTTTCCATCTTCAAGGGATCAAAAATTGGCCCAAACTAGAGAGAGAATGATACACTTAGTCTTTCCTTAGTGTATTTTACTTGTCTGTAAAAAGCCAAAACACTTGCCAAATGTGGGGTAAGAAAGATATTTCTTAATATATTAGATTGGCATGGATGACTTTTTCCCCTTCCTTCCTAGTGCAGGTTATTACCCACTCATTGACACAGGCATCTTCACTGAAGAGATTCATCATTATTGCAATGACCTAGAATATTGGTGGTGCTATAAACCTCTCTCATTACTGTCCTGTGAAACACTGTATGATTGTACAGGTCTTGGCTTCTGTGGAAAAGGTTTTAAGTTCACTACAGGGTATTGAACAGGGTTTTTTTTGTTTTTTTTTTTGTGGCTTGTAATGTGTGGGAATGGTTAGATAGTGTGTTTTGCTCCAAAGTTCTTCACATACCAGAAGGGAAATGGATTGACTGATCCTCTCTCCTTTATTGTAACTGGGAAAATGTTATCTACAAGAAATCACACTTTTTTTTTCTGTTCTCATTTGATTTTTTTGTCTTAACATTATCATTTTATTTTTGTGGCTGGGATGAGTTAAGGAGGTCAGGACTTACCTCTTCTTTTATTATGCTTATAAAGACATTCTGATTTATCATTCTAGTTTTTCTAAGTAAGCAAACTATTCCAAACTATTCTAGAATACTTTTATACGATCACTTTATGAGATGCTCTCTCTAGTAGAATTTGATATCTGTACAGAATCATAGGTCACTCAGGCTGGAAAAGGCTTTGGGGAGGTCTGTAGTCCAGCTTCCTGCTCAAAGCAGAGACAGTGCTTTAGTATTGAAGCCAGATTGCTTGGTACTTTCTCTTGACCTTGAAAACCTCCAACAACTGATTTCATAGTCCCTCCGGACAGCATGTTCCAATGCTAATCATTCTACACACAATACCTTTTTTCTTATACCCAGTTGAGATCTCTATTTCAGTGTATGACCATGGTCTCTTGTCCTCTCACCATGCACCTCCACAAAAAGCCTGGTCTACTTTCTCAGTAATCTTGTAAGTACTTTCAGGTTGTTGCTAGGTCCTCCTAGAGCTGCCTCTTCTACAGGCTAAATAAGCCCTCTTCCCTCAGCCTGTCCTCACAGGGAAAGTGCTCCAGCCTCTGACCAGCTCAGTGGTCTTCTGCTGGACTTACTTGAATATGTGAACATTCTTCCTGTACTGGGAACCCAAGACTGGATGCAGTATTCCAAATGCAGACTTATTAGCATCAAGTGAAGAGGATCTACTGGCTACTTTCTGACTGATACAGGAAGTATGTGATGGCCTTTTGATGTTCTTAGGTGTAGGTAACTACACCTTCGTCCTAACCCCAAAAGTCTGGACAAGAACAACCTTTTTCAGTCAAGTATGTAGTGTATGAAGTTTTAATCTTCTTATCCTATCAGTGTATGTTCTTTGTTCCTCCAGTATATTTGTCTTACAAAGGATTTGTAGTCAGACTCCTAAAACAACAACACACTTTACATTTGAAAAATTGTCGCTTGCATCTGTTTCACTACATTTAAGTTTTTGTGTGTTTTCTGTTTAGGTAATTAGAATGTATACTGAAAAAATGAGATCTAGAGTAAGTTATGAGGGATTAAGTAAAAATAGATGTGTGTGATAAACTAATGTTGTTGCTTAGTTTTCAAAGTTAAACAACATGGAACTAAAACAATCTGATCACATCTAGTCACGTAGCCCTGTATTATGGAATTTGTACTTTGTTTGCTTTTTTCCACAAGCAAGAGAGTTTCAAATCTTGAAAGACTGATGCACCTTGTTTCTTAGTGTACTTCTGTTTCTTTTTTTAAAAACATGAAAAAATAAATAGGGAAGAATACATTTGGAGGTTATTAAGGTTGCACAGTTAGTCACATGAATATTGTTAGCAGCCCAAATTAGGTTTGAAAGTAAATTAAATATACACATAGCAAACTGGGAGGAGGTCTGAACGAAGTACAGAGAAATCTACTACACATAAAAGGCTCTTTAAAATGCTGTTCAGTACATCTGAAAAAACCTCCAGAATACCCTGGAGAAAATTAATGCTAAAAGAGGCACAAGGTGTCAGAGAACAAAAACCAAGCCACGATTTCAGCTGAAGTTAGGTAACTAAACAGACCAATGCAATTCAATGCATGGCTCTGAGCAGTGACAGTCTGATGTCATAGGCACTAACCATACACTTAAAGCTCTCACATGCTACATGTTTTGCCAGGCTGAGCATCCACAGTGAGACATTATGGGATAAGCAGGGAATGTTGTAACCACATGTTGCAGCCACGTGATTCGATCCTGGGCATTACTCTACAAGACTTTGATCAATAAAGGGGCTTCAAACAGAAGCAACAAAATAGCTGACACTGACATGGTTACTTTGGACTTCTATAGGTGTGGAGAAGAATAAAATTGTCTGTGATATATTTCTATAATATATGTAGCATGTATTCAGCATCTATAGTATGTATATGAATTATGTCTATATTCTTATACATGTGATATATAAAAAGTTCAAGGAAATTAAAACCACAGTGCTTGAAAAAATAAAATAATCTTATTAAGTGTAGGCGAACGACAACTGTACAAACACCAGGTGGGATCATGTCTGGAATAAAGCCAAAAAGAATTTTGGCAGAGGGTCTGGATACGGCCAGGATTTTCTTCAGTTCTTAAATACAACATGCCTTCTTGTCTTCCAGCTCTGTGTGGAGATGCTTATATGCTCTGCTTGTATATCATCTCATATTCACAACTGTCTTGGGTATCCTCCATTACTTGTAAAATCCATCCATATTTTCCCTCTTAATTTTAAGGAAGAGCATTTGAAAGATAGTCTTTCAGGGAAATACCTAATACCAGAGCTCAAAAGATGAAAGATGACTCTGTCTTAATGTGTACACATGCAGTGTTTTTTTCTTGTTTTTTTTTTGTTGTTGGTTTTTTTTTTTTTTTGAGTTGACAGAAGTCACAGTTATGTAGCAGAAGTAGAAGTCTGGTCAACCTCATGTCTCAGGCACTATCTGAACTGGTGATGTATAATAACTCACTACAAGCCTTAAAAGTTCTGGTAGGTATTTGACCTAAAAGTAACAATATGGTGAAAAGCCATTCTTACATATGGAAATTTTCAGTTTCATCCTCTTCAAATGCATCTCATTTAAAAGGTCTGCTTCATTGCTAATCTTTTCAAGCCTTGATTGTTTGTGGCAATGAATAGGAGAATAGCACTGGAGATCTGATCCTGTAGGTAAGTAGTCCCCTGCTGAACAGTTACTAAAGTCACTGTGAATGATATATTCCAGACATCTGTGTACTGGGTCTATTATTTGCATATGAAAAAGAATGGTCTGTGATCTAGAATGAATTAACATTCTTCACAATTAAGCGTAGCTGAGATAAAAAGTAGGAATGCATTGGAAAACTACACAGCATAGAGACTAAAGAACAAGAATACAGCAAAAATTATTATTCCAGGCCCCAAACAAAAGTTACTGCGGGCAAGAGAAGGAAACCTCATAATACCAGGTTGCAACCTGTAGGATGCTCCTATACTATAAAAATTAACTTTCTTACATTAAAAAAGTTCCCTTATTACAATGTAATAAAATTTCCAAATATTTTTTTTGCAGACATTTGCCCAGACAGTTAAGTTTAACTCTGACTTTGGGGTTTTTGAAGTTGTTAATGATGCCCCACAATGCCTTGAAAGCCAGCTGAAAAAAAGTCTACATGAGCAGAAATCTCCAAAGCCCATTTATGATGCTCTAAGGAAAGTAAAGAATGATGGGCACCTCTCCAAAATGCGCACTGCTTCTCCAACCTTCAATATTGATGCAAATTACAACACTATGGTAAGCATCTTATAGCCCCTGAGTTTATATTTAGATCTTACTGTAGAGATACTGGCAGTAGTTTTTGTTGTGTTTGGCTTGGTAGCTTGGGAAAAATGTTAATTTATGTTAGGAAAACATAATGATGGGCCAAATTATGCCCTGCAATGCACATGTGTCTAGCAGACAAGTGAATGGAATTACAGATGTACATCCTGTAGCACAGAATTTTGAAGATTCCGTAGGGCAGGATTCAGTTGTGTGGTCTGAATACTTTTTAATATTAAAAGAAAAAATATTATGACAACAGTTACTTTACTAGTGATCCCTGGAATGTGCAAATTGACTGAAACTAATGCATCTCAGTCTTTCCTTATTAATTAATTTCCTTGTGTGGCTATGAGCTCATCTGTGGTCTGGCAACACATAAGTCTGTCTTCTATTAATTCCCAAAGGATTTACATGGTTACCATCAATTGAAATGGCCAGAGAAAACAATCTTTGGCAAAAAGAAAGCAAAATTAATGGAAAGATAGGTTGGATTTTAGAAAAATAATCTTGTTTTTGACTTGCCCAGACATTATCGATTTTGGTATTCTTACCTGTTTACTTTACTTTCAGGGCTTTCTTCAGCACCAAATTATTCAGGTTAAAATCAGGAGTTGAAGCACCATATGCACCTGAAAGAATACAAGACAGTATAATTAGTTGTGGGACTTTACCTTTAGGCAACAGCTTTTGAGGAGAAAAAAACGTTTCACTGGGATACTTGGTTTATTCTTTTCTTGCTTACTTTGCATAGGTGTGACTGCTGTGACTTCAGTTTGTTTCATTCAAGGCCAGGCTAAGGTATTTCTGTATTTTTAGAAGTGGCTGCTCTAAATTATGTCATAGCTGGAAAGCTGAGAGAAAAGCAAGGAGCTGTAGCAAACTGCTATTTTGCCTAGTATAAGCTTAATTATTTTCACAAAAGAAAACAGTGTTGAGAGAGGTCAAAAGGCAAACATGTTTAACAAAGTTATAGTAATGTGAGATAGCAATTATCTGCATCTAGACTGAAAAAATGCTGCAACGGCACAAGGCTCACAGGCATCCCTACCATGTTAAATAATTATTTTCACAAATATTTTGCTTGAGAGCACAAAACTGGAAGAACTATTCTTGATTTCTTACTTTCTCTCAGGATTAAACTGAGGAAACATTGTGTGCTTGTGCAAGTGTGGCTAACACTCTGTGGGATAACCTTACATCACTGCAACTGTGGATGGCCTTTCTTGACAAATTCAAAGCCATTTCACTATTGCTTACATCTTTCATGTGGTTTGGAGCAACACAGCTCCTATATTATTTAAGAATACATTGCTTTCTCTGGGCCATTTTCCATAGATGATGGTCTTTTGTGGAGTGATACGCCTCAGTATGCTTTCTTCTTGGGAGAAAAGGCTGAAGTTTTTTCTTATTTTTGACTCCTTCACTGGGTAGGTAACATACATTCCTCACCCAGTTGATAATGCCTTGGCATCTCAAGGCTGAACTGGAACAACATGGCCTGCACACCAGCATATCAAAAATTGTTACTGCAACTACACAAGGTGAAAGAAGCCAGCTTCATTCATTGTGCTACGCTGTGACAGAACCAGAAGAAGTCATCCCAGACCAACTGCATCAAGTAGTTCAGTTCAGCTCAAATAGGATTTGATCTTTCAGGCATCAGCTGATGCTAGCCTTTTTCCTTTAACTTTCTTCACACTGACTGAAGAGACTAACAGTTGCTTTGAATGTTACATTGCTACAAAAAAGTAGCAAGAGGCCATCACTGGCACATTTCTAACGAAAATGAGCTATGGTTGGAGAATCCTAGTAGGCATTTCAGGCTACAGCTTGAATTTAAACAAATCTTACCTAAGAAATACACCTACAGGTATTTTTCTCTGTATTTTACTTCCCTCTTAGACTGTTACAAATTTACAGATAAGCAAAAGTTCTCTGCACGTGTGCATGCACACTTGCAAATTATTGATACAGAGGTAAATACCTTCTTATCAACAGTCAAAATCAATCTGGTGTAAAATACATTAAGAAAATAAACCTGCTGAGCTGGGTAGAATTGATCACAACTATGGAAAAAACCTGGCTGGCATCCCACATACCTTACTTCAGAGAAACCCCAGTTCAGCAAAACACTTAAGTATGTGTTTAACTTTAATCAAGGGAAGTTAAACACATGCTTAAACTTAAACACGTGCTAAAAGCTTTGCTGGATTGAGTCCCAGCAAGGCCTAAGGCTGACTGGGTAAGGAAGCTAACCAAGGTAACAAAACTCATCAGATTAAATGTAGCATCTTTCTCTGGGGGAAGGGGAAAGAGTAGAGATTTTTTTGTTCTGATAGTATATATAATGTTGTGTACCAGCCATGTACAGACACAAACATGAATCACTCAGATAAAAAACCTGGGCTGTTATTCAGTAAATACGTAAATATTAAATGCCAAAATAAAGAGACAATCTTTTGTATTTCAAAAAAGCTTGTCAGTTACCAGAAAGAGGCATACACTGTGTGGTTGGGACTAATTAGTCTCTATCTCCACAAATTAGTGTATGAGCCACTGCCAACATAAGCTTTTCATATTTTGAAATATTTTCTTCTCTCTAAATGAAACCACCCACATTCTGAGTAATTCAGATTTTTTTTAATCCCCTACAGATATATATGAGGCAGAATAACCCTTGTCCCTAATGGAATATTAGCTCATGGAAATAAAATTTAAAATGTAATCTACACAACTGATAATTTGATATAGCAAGTAGCATTCATCTTTGCCCCAGCTTCACCTGTTTTTATGGACAAGAAGAGTTACTGCATTCTTCCAAACCATCAGTCTCACTTTCACTAGAAGGAAAAATGCACCTCAGATAAATAAAACAGCTCATCCCCTAAGAATGGAAAAAGTACACTCTTAAAAAAAATATTGAAGTATGCTGTGTGTCATTTCTAAGGGAAACAGCTATGGATCACTGCGGTCCATAGTCAGAGATCTTGCTCTCTGTGTAAGTTCTTAGGCATTGTTTTTGTTTGCTGGCTCTGTATTGCTCGCTGTTCAACACATCCCTTTCACACCCCAGACCACTCTTTGGAAGCACCTCCCTTTCTGCTTTGATGAGGCACTGATGCTTGGGCTGCCTAAGCAGAAATCTGTTTCCAGCCCGATTCATAAAATACTTAGGTTTCCATTATAAGTGTTACTTTGTGCAATGCAGTTCTGCAAAGCTCTGACATAAAAGTGAGAATCGTTTTAGCTGATAGGCTTTTTATTTGTTTGATTTTGTTTTTAATATCTACAGCTCTCTGATTCTCAGAGTCTAATTTAATATAAGGGTTTCTTAGTCTTCAGATTCTTGAAGAAAAATAGTGGGTTTTTATAAAATGTGATGAAGTCAGAAAAATTAGCTGTTTCCTGTTGCAAAAAAAAAAAAAAAATCTATTTTGCATTTTGATTTGTACAGCAAAAGCACGATCGATGCACATACTATTTCTGAAGAAAAAAAATCACGATTTGTTAAAAAAATTGTACGCTTATAGATGAAATCAGATTTAGACCTTTTTAGCTGTTGATAGGAAAGTAAATCAACTCAGTTATCCCAGCATGATAAAGGCTAAACTGGACCTCACTTGGAGTATTGTGTACAGTTCTGGTGTCCTCAACATAAAAAGGACATGGAACTGTTGGAGCAAGTCCAGAGGAGGGCCACAAGGATGATCAGGGGACTGGAGCACCTCCTGTATGAAGACAGGCTGAGAAAGTTGGGGCTGTTCAGCCTGGAGAAGAGAAGGCTGCGTGGAGACCTCATAGCAGCCTTCCAGTATCTGAAGGGGGGGCTATAAGGATGCTGGGGATGGACTTTTAGGGACTGCAGACATTAGACTGTAGTGATAGGAAAAGGGGTAACGGGTTAAAACTTTCCAATCTAAACTTCCCCTGTTTAAGTTTTAACTTATAAGGAAGAAATTCATTTATAAGGAAGAAATTCGTTTATAAGGAAGAAATTCTTTACTGTAAAGGTGGTGAGGCACTGGAATGGGTAGTCCAGGGAAGTTGTGAATGCTCCATCCCTGGTGGTGCTCAAGGCCAGGTTGGACAGAGCCTTGGGTGACATGGTTTAGTATGAGGTGTCCCTGCCCATGGCAGGGGGGTTGGAACTAGATGATCTTAAGGTCCTTTCCAACCCTGACTATTGTATGATTCTGTAACAACAATAATGTCCACTGCATATTTGTTTTCCTGAGAAAATGTCTCTGTAGAAGGGGATTGGAGTGAATCAGTTACATGGCAAACAAAGCAAGAAAGTCAAGAAAACTGCAAATCTTTGGCATTTCTTTTTTAATAGTGCCTTGATAGAGAACAAGCAATTCAGTGGATTAAGAAAGAAAGGCTTCCAGCATTTCTTGAAAGTGACTGTTATTTTGAATACAGGTATTACAATCTTTTATGCTTTTGATTTTAAATTTGTGTAGTTTTTCTCTTCTGTTTAATTTATCTTGACAGTACTCTTAATATGTTTTCTCCCACCTCTAGGTCTGTTTGTTTAATTTTAGTATTTTTGTGACCTGGATAAAGTAAAATCAGAGCCTTTTTTTTCACTCGGCTGTTTGTAATTTTCCTTGACCATGAATTACTGATTTCTGAATTTGTGTTCCACAGAGATATCATGGTAGTAATGCATCTTTCTCTGATCAGTATATAAGCCATGTAAGTGGAAGTTATGAATCCATAAAATCTATTTAGAAAAAAATAAGCCAGTCCTTTTTATTTCAGTTACTAGCTTTGTGTCTGTGGGACCCACTGTCAGACTTCCTTTTGCAAGGTTCTCTATGGGATGCTGTGGCATAGTTGGATGATGCACTGTTATATACCTGCTATATTTTTCCAGATGTCCTTTCAGCAGATGTTCTTCATGTATGCCTTTTTGAAGATCTGCCTCTACATCCTTCAAGGTTCTGTCTAGATCAAGATAAACCGAGATGCTAAAAGGGAAACTTGCATTTATAGATGAAGATACCCCAACCCTAGAATGAAATCCTATTTTCCTTCAAATAGTGAGGACAAATTAAACTGGGCATTCACTCATGGTCGTAGGCTCAGACATAGGCTTTGTTTTCCCTTCACATGCACCTTGGTTGGTTTTGTACTGCTTTCTAACTTAGCTAAGTTTTGCCCCAGTTCTTGAGCCCGGAACACCAACATTATCAACATATGGTTCTAAGATTGCCTTTTTTGAACATCCTGATGTTCACACTAACACAAGATAGCACCAGAGGGCTCTTCAGTCCTATGATGTCCTCAGACATCTGCCAGTTGAATACAATAGCGCCAGTTGTCAGTTGTCATCTGAAAGTTTAATTAGTATGATCACTCCTGTGGCATCACTGCTGGAAGATTGTTTGTATCAGGAAGTGTAGTGTCTGCTGATGATACCAGACTTCTGCAATCTGGAACAATAGTTCCATTTTAATGATCAAAATATTTGAGGGCTTCTTGGCAGGGCTTGGGACTGCATAGATACATGTAAGAGCATCCTGACAGAAACTGGTTTTACTGGTAAAGACTGATAATACAAGGCAGGTCACCATCTGTAAAGCTGGTGGACTACGGAATGGCAGTACTGGTGTTTATGAACATGACATAATATGGGTGAAATAGTATGATCTGTGAAATAACATGATCGATAATATGATCTGCTGATCATGACCTTCTCTGTAACAATTTATTTTTAGATGGGTCATGGGTTTTATTGCCTATTCTGGGGAAAAAAACCTCAACTTTTTCTCTGATTAAAAGCTAAAATTAGCTATTTTCTTGTCTCAACATTTAATTTCAGGCTAGCTAAATTGATATCACAGGTAGAATGGAGCAAGACTGGCATTAATTTCATTATCGATAATGACTACTATCCCTGGATAAGGAAGCAAGACCCAAGTCCTTCCCCTCCTGAGGAGGATGACACTTCGATGACTGTGAGAAAGTTAAATATATCGCTTGGAGTGGTAATATAAAAATGTTTAGTGGGTGTAACATCAAGATATATTGAATGCATTGGGTGAAATTATGTAAGTGAGGTCACAACATTATTGGACATCTGATTCTCTGAATATCCCTCATTTTCAAAGCTTTTTGTACTGCAGATGAAGGTTTTTGGTTTGTAATATAGCTAAAACACAAGCTGTGTTACAAGTATGCTCAGCTATCATCATACAGCTCTCTTCACTGGGAACTAATGGTACAGAAATCTACACAAACAAACTGCACAAAATGACTACAGACAGTAAGCTCTGCTCTCAGAAACACTGCAATAAACAGAAAAATTTGAATTGTTCTATGACATTTCTTTTCCTAGGCTACAGTTTCTCAGACAAAGGATTGTTTTACATTAGCAAAAGGAAGTGAATTAATGAAAACTACAGATTCATTCTCACATCCTATAGCTTCTAGTCAAACTCAGTGTTTGTCTGGACAGCGTGAAAGAGATGATTCATTAAGTGAAAAAGATAGTCTTCTGGGTAAGTAACAGAGGCTCAGCCATAGTATTTATAACAGAACTCTGACTAGGTGGAAAGAAAAGGCATTCCAAGAAATTGCTGCTAACTCGTTATATTCTATCAGACGATATCTTAGGTTTCAGACAGGGATTTGTTTCCACAGCCACAATGTTAAATGAAATTTTGAGCTACAAACCAAGAAATTTTGTGATAGTAGAAGTCTCTTTTCTTACATATTTCTGTTTCATAGATATCTGTAAGTTTCAGCTGTTTTTCTTGTTTGTTTTTCCATTTGATATGTTTTGAAAGACTTTCTTCATAGAATCATAGAATGGTTTAGGTTGGAAGAGACCTTAAAGATCATCTAGTTCCAACCTCCCCTATCCCTGCCTTCTTGTCTGGATTCTTTGGGTATTTGATAGTGTATGGTTTGTGTTGCAGCCATCATCTTAGGGTATTTATGAGAGGCACTTTCAAAGGCCTTCTGGCTGCCAATTTTTATGAATCTTATAGAATGTAATTGTGACAATCCTGTCAAATTCAACTGAAATTGTTCAGCAGGTTTCAAAGAGAGAGAATGCATGTGAGAGAACATAGAGATGAATTATGGACATACCTGCTTGCAGGTTAGGGACATTATGGGCATACCTGATAACCTTGCTTCTGTTAGGTAGGCAGTAGCAAGATGAACAGGGAAGTCTCAGCTTATGTTAGGAGTTCTCTGGCCCCAATTCTTGGGGGAAAAAGCTGCCGTTCCACTCTGAGGCTTGTTCTGATGGGACTATGGTGTCTAATGGCTGGATGGAAAATTGGAAGACATGATAACTCCAGAAGTCTGTCTTCTTCCTCAAACCTGTAAGGATCATCCCAGGATATATATTGCTGATGCATGGTTTATTAATGAAGTTATTGAAACTGCTTTTGTTTGCAGCTCATGACTTCACCACTAATTATTGCAGTGCTTTGAGCAGAGAGGTCACACATGCACCATTCTTGCAGAGCTTTTATGTAACTCTGTGTTGCAGTGGGCTGGGCGTAAGCCTACAGAAAGCCTCTCTGCCCTGTTTGCCTGAAGCTGTCCTGCAGTCAACAGCATTTTGCCTCAGTTAATATTTTACATCTAAAAAAATTATTTTATAACATAGACCTTCATTTTCCCTGTGCTTATTATTCTTCTTTATGCTAATTTCATGGGAAATCCAGCATTTTTTGTCAGAATTTCTATTCAGGCACAGTATTCACCTGGTGTCAGGCACTGGAAGCAGTAAAGGGCATTAGTTAAGTTTCTCAGAGTCAGCCTGCAATTAGAAAGGGTTTGAATTCCTTGCTCACTGCTTCAGTTGGATCAAGGTTATCAATTAATGTCTTGAGCAAAACCCTGATCCACTTGACTTTTGATTATTCAAGAACTGTGTTTCTCCCTCCCTAATTGCCTCAGGTCCTGTTAAATCATTCTTTATGTTTCAATTTCACAGAAATGTGTTGAGAAGGTATAATTTTAGTTTGTCAAGTGAAAACATTTGAATGCAATTGTCTGTCTGTGACAATGGCCAGCACTAGTTAGATGAAGCTTCTTTTTTGGAGAAAGATGGAAAGAATGTTTAACTACCATTGCCATTTATTGACCAGGCCACCATAGATGGTTGCACTAGCTGATGACATTACAAATGTGAATTCAGTGGATCTGAGAGATTTAGCCCTTTTCTGTCGCAACCTTATGTAGGACATGTGCTCAGAGGTTGTATCAGTCTCCTCACTGACAATGTTTTGCCTACCTACAATAGTGATACAACACCTGCATCTTGGCTTTAGGGAAATACAGATTCAGTCTATTCTGTAGTTTAAGCACTGGATTGATATGAAGATATTGTAGAGCCACAGCTGAACTATGACTTTTTGTTTTTTCTTTATTTCACTTAGATTCTGCTGCTGTTCATAATACCTGTAGTTATTCTGCTCAGTTTTATAGGACTGACTTGTACAGTGACAGCAGCATTAACCTAGCTGAGCAGTATGCATAGTCAAGGTCATCTTTGTTGACATGCTCCAGAACTACTTGATTTGCTGAAAGTCTGGCAGAAGTAGAAAATGTATTTGAGCAAGTTAAATCAGTGAATTTCTTTCTCAGCAGACCAGGATGATGGGGCATGATTAATAGCATGGAGACACTGAGGGGCTGGGAAAAAAGGAATTAAATAGAGAAGTGTAGGCAAAAAAAAACAGGGCTGGTCACTGTTATAAACTTGTTAGTTACGAAATATTTTTAAATCTAAATGAGCCATTCCTGGGTGGCAGATTGGACTGCAGGATTATTAAATGTTTCCAGAGCCCTTGACATAATCATTTGTTTTGTTATCCCATGTATGTCAAGAATTTACCCAATTGACAGAGGCCTGTTTGATGCTTTAGTCTTTTCCAATAACCAACTTAAATAGACAAGAATTATCACTTACTAGTTTTCTCAGGCCTAAACAAAACCCAATCCTGCTACATACTGTGACTTTGATCACACTATGATCACAGGCTCAGGAAGAAAACAGACCTTGCAGCACAACAAGGTGGTTTAACAAGTGCTGAGGAGCTGGGTTGTTCAGCTGAGTAAACAAGACAATTAACTCCAGAGGAAGTTACTCCTGAACTCTCCTGCTCTGCTGGAATTCAACAGGGAATGAGTTTCTGAGTCATGGGGCTGAATTTCTAAACCCATAGCAACGGCAGAAGCTATTCCCTGCTCTGCAGTGTGACATGGTCTGATTGTTCGGCAGTAGAGCAATATAAAAATATATTTGCATTTTTTAACTTGGAAATGTTGATATGCAAGAGAACGGTCCTGAATCTAAAGAGTGTTCAATGATCTTTTCTGATTTAATGCAGAAGCAGGTTCCCTGTCTAAGGAAGCCCACCAATGGAGTTTCCTTCGCCCTTCAAGGAAAGCAAAAGCCATCATTTTAAGGAAGACATCCAGAGAGGCTGAGGAGGGCTCTTCTGTGGCCATTGCTGAACTACCTGCTCATACTCAGTTAAGAGTGTATGTAGACCCGAAATGGGACAGTGCAGCAAAAAAAAAAAAAGAACAGGAAAGCGTAACTATTCAGACACCAGGAGAATTCATACCAGATTATACCCAACTTGTAATGAAGGAACCTGCTTCAGAATCAACTCACCAGCCAACTGCTGACATTCACAATAATGTGGATTTCCACAAACAGCCTGAACTATTTATACATGAGCTATCAAATAATGAATTTGCCCGTGGCACTGCAGAGTCACTCCTTTCCCAAAGTTCTCCATTTTCTGTCTTGGACTCCCACAGAGATGTAAGAGAACAAGACACTGAAGAAGTAAGCTTAAAATCAAGTTCTGAAAGTGGTGGGTCAGACAGTAGAGCCTGGTGTATTAGTCACAGGACTTCTGATACTGGCAACAGACATGAGTTTGAGAGATTCAAGAAGTTCATTAAAGGAACACTTGGGGAGAGGTACTGGTGGCTCTGGATGGATATTGAAAGACTAAAGGTGCTCAAAACCACTACAAGGCAGCAAAGGTACTTCTCATTATTTAATGGTTATTCCCATTGTTTTAATACTTGTAACCCAGATGGATTAATGCAGGTTTTGAGATTTCAGAATAACTTGTAAAGTTTGAATAGTACAGACACATTTAAAGTAATCATGAGTGTCATAAGTTAGGAATGACTCGGTTGAAGCCGATAAAACCGTTTTTGCAGTCATGTTTGCAAAGCTTACATGAAGTCAAAATTACCATAGTATTATGGCATTGTTTAGAAAGAAATTTGGAAAACAGGTGACAATAAAAAAAAAACCAAAAACCACCCAAAAACTTAAATTCACAAGTAGGGCATTAAGTATAACAAACCGCTTTAACGAATGGCTCTGTGGAACTCAGATTGTCTATTCTAAAGCACTGTACATTTTACACACAACTTGTCTCTAATTTGTGGATTTTTTGTCTTTTGGCCTCTGCAATTTTCTATTAAAAACACTTTGCATGACAGCAGTTTAACCAGTAGGGTGATCTGTACTTGGTTCTGTCTAGCATTTGGTACATGCTTATATGACTATTTTTATTGACTCAAGGCAACTCAATAAGATGAAGAAACTGTATCTTTTGAGCAGTGGAGACTACTTCCTCAGTTCAGAAGTGTTACTCAGACTTAACTTGTTGCATGGAGATCAGTGGAATGTAAGGCATTTAAGACGGATTCAGCCTGAAGTAGTGAAACCTCTGCTTCTTTACTGGTATGAAAAAGTGAACATAATATATTTTCCTTTTCTTTAATAAGCTTACTAGGTTTATTTCACTTCACTTATCCCATGGCAATTATGGGGAGCAATGTCATCATAAATACTAGCAGATGTTGCATCTGAATTTTTAGTTGATCCTAAACTACACTGCAATCTGCTGACAAGTCAGGTAGATCTGTCTTACTGAGCCCGTTATTTTACTGCCAGAGCATCTGAGCTACTTTGTGTATAATTATCTTGGATACCATTCAAGTAAACTTTAGGCTGCAGGTTAGAGAAACCCCTCCAGGCATAGAAGGTTAATTCTGTCCTAAGCTATTCCCCATACTGCCCTTCTCAAGTTTCTGAGGATGCTCTGTGTATACATCTATGTGGAAATTGACCCTGAGACTTTACTCTTCAATGTCTGTCATACAAAATGCCTTTTGCTTTATTGACAGCTTAAACAAGGATACAAATTCTAACCTGTTTCCAAAACATAAGCTAATTTTTTGAACATATTCTCTCCTCCCCAAGGGGGTCAACAAATTGCAGACATAAACAAGTACCTGCAATTGTGAACTTTGCTGTGGAGCCTCATGAGAGTTGTGGTGTATGTTCTATGACCTACAATCCTTCCCTATTATTTGCTGTAGGATGGATGGGGCATATCCTACTGCAGACTCACACAAAGGCAACTATGTAATGGTGCAGAATTTGCAACCTAAGTTTATTTATGTTTGGCTTGGTTTTAGATTTGGAAGAGTGCAATGTCTAAACATATCTTTAACACTAAGTGCTTTTTAAATTTAGGTGCACATAGCTCCATATTTTGATACAGGAAACACCATTATGGGGGAGGGGAAAGAAGCCAAATAGCCCAGTATTTAATGTTTTGTGAAAGTTCTACTTTTTAGATTTGTGTTTTGTTTTGTGTTTGGGTTTTTTGTTTTTTTGTTTTTTTTTCCCCTCTAGGGGTCCCAGATTTCGTGTCACTGATTCAACAGCAATACAAACTGCCAGTGCAAAACTGAAGATGTGGCACACATGCCAACAGAGACCAAGGGTGGACATTGATCCTTTTCCACATATAGTATCATTGCTACCATTGACACTTAAGTCTTGCATGCCCAGGATACCACCTTCCCTTTCTCAGGTAGGTAGGATTACAAAATAGAAAAACAAAGCCTTGTCCCATCAAAAATAAAGATAAAACTCCTTGAATTCAGTGGAATAAGAATATAGTACTTGATTCTTATGAAGCCAAGATTTAGCAAGCTGGTCTGTGGCAGATGCTTGTATATAAAAATGCAACACTATTTTACTATACTTTATGCAACAGGATGCTATAAAACAAGTCAAATTATCTTCTCAGTTACATCCTGGCTATTTCATAGGTCTTTTGGATTGAAATGTAAAATGAAGTATCTATTGGCACAGATTATGCCCTTCAACCAGTTTTATCTTAATTCAGATTAATCCTTACTTCACTGTAGTTACCCTGAATTTACCCATTATGTTTGTAAAAAGGACACAGTTCTTATCTTCTGTTGCCTGCATCCTTCAGTCAACTACACATGATTTTTGCTTCTATAGAGGGTCATAAACACAGACGTTTTTGTAGCATGTCACTTGCAGGTGGCTACTTCAGTTTTGACTCTTGCTTGAAAGCCTGAATTTGAGAGATAACTGCAATGAAAGCTCCTGGTTTTCAGCAGCACAGTGTTAAGGCTCAGGACAGAATGTACCTGGAGAAAGTGACTCAGGTCTGTGGTTCCAGTATCAAGAACCATGGATCTGTTCACACACGCATCTCTTACTTTGAGTTGGATAGTTTCAGGCTACAGTTTTATTTTTTAGAAAGCAAATTCATGGAGATACTGGAGGAAAAGCAGTGGGACAGATTTCCTGTTCAGAAGAAGCTGGGTTCAGGAGCCAGATTCCTGCTGATCACAGCAGGAATGGGAGCCAGGCACAGCTGCCTCTTACAGAGACCCGTTCTGGCTTCACAAGGTGTGCTAATGATCCAGGACTAGCTGTAGGTTAGGCAGACAGGATCCTAACTCTGCAGGTTTTCCAGTCCCTGTTGAGTTCAGTACTTGAAGAAAATGATGACCTGGCACCCATGCACCTCACAGAATCAGCTGATGGACTGTTTCTTGCTGCTTTCCCTCCCCTCTCCTCCACTCCACTCCCCTTCCCATCCTGAGTGACTGTATCTATTTTACAGTGACCTACTTAAGGCAGTCCTAGTAAAGAGTCACAAAACATGTTCAGGAGCTTTTCACCTGACATCTGCTGTAATTTCTACCTGTTAAAAATACAGTTTTAAAGCTATAATGGTTATTACGATGTGCTGAAAAATCTTGCAAAATATTCAGAGAAGCTTTTTGCAATTTGCAGTTTTCCATACTGTGATTGACAAGGAAAAATAGACCTGAAAACTCTTGAATATTTTTTAGTAGTTAATGAGAACATGTTAAGGAAACACAAAGGTGGAAAAATAACCAGAATTGTCTTATTTTTCTATTATTTATTTTAGAAAAGTAGAACAAGCTCACCAGCAACTTTATTAAAACCACCTATGTCAAATTTCTCTTTGAAGAAATCATCAAAATTATTACCTACCCTACCATCAAGACAGAGCCCCCAAAGGGATGACATTTCTACCAGTAGAAAGTGGTAAGTACAGAAGTCCCTTGTACTTCTTTCTGCATACCAGTGTACCTCAAATACTTATGAAAGACTTTTAGATCCTACTGTTTTAATGAATATTTTTCTTTACTATAATGATCTGCTTAGGGAAGCACACTTATGGTACAGATTACATGCATGGAGAATTCCTCCCTGGCTGATTAGTTTCCCATTTGTTTGTGCCACCACACAGAACTGTTTATTTCTCCAAACACAAGTGTTTTGCCCTCATTTGTGTAATAGTTGATATTCTCTACATACATTAATATTCTTTTAACCTGTCTCAAAGCACTTACCCTCAAAGACATGCTGTATCAGTGATTTCCACAGGGCTGCATGAAAAAGTAGTCCTCTACATTTCTTACATTTATTGTAAGTTTGAAATCTATAGGTACTTTTTCCTCTACTGTTCACTATGTCATTCTACCTCTTTCCATGCCCCTTCTTAGTTGTTTATTTTATAAGAAGTCCTAGCTTTTCTTAAGTATGTATTGAAAATTTTGTTTATTTGTGAATCCAGGCCAAAGTCAGCCAACAGAGACATGATTTATTGCTCAGCTGTGGATGACACCAAAGACTCAAAATGCCAGGGTCATAGAAAGTACACCTATGCTGAGCTGCTCCAAGTAAGTACTACTTAAAAATACTAGTAATCTTGAATCATGGGTTAAACCACTTTATTCTCTAGTATTAAAGGGGAAGTAGTCAACTATGGGGAGAAATTGCTTTGATTACATAAATCTCCATGCCTTATGCAGAGGTATAATTAGAATGTCAGCATTTTCTGTGTGGTATCTTTCACCTATCTGGTAGGAAATCATGGCATATACAGAGGTTTATTTTCACTAGAAAATGTTGATCTTCTCCATGGTGACCATGTGTTCAGTAGGCTATTATGGAAAACTCACTGAAGAAATGCTTCAGTAGAATCACTGCCTAGAAGAGTATACCAGACTTACAGTGAAAACTGAATCTGCCCTAGAAAGTCATTAAAATAATAAAATCCTGAAGAGAAAAAATGCTCCACTTGTACTATTCCTCTTTGTTGCTTGTGTAATCCACTCTTTTCTTTGTTGAATTATTGCCTGCTAAGCAGGCCCTCAATCCAGCAAACTTCAGGAGGCACAGGCTACACAGTAGAGCCTCTTCTCAATAACTGTTAAAATGCTGACAAACTGAACATATGCGATGTCAAGATCTGGCAATTTACAATATATTCAAAACCCTTCATGTTTGTGGAATGGTCTTAAAACAGCCTGCTGTTTCAGTGAGATATTGATACCCATGGTCTCACAACTAGAACAGTCCACCATATTATGAAATCTGGGCTTGTTTACATATGCATGGAGTTCACTGATCACTTGAGCACATGATTGATTGTTTTTTTACATAAAAATCATACTTTATTACTTCACTGCAACCATTTTACTTCTTTGTTCATTTTGACAGAAGAAAAGGCTAGTCTTCGCAATTAGGGGACATTTGCAGTCAGAAACTTACATTCAGGAAATGTTCACACCATGAACTATTAGTTTTTATACAACTTCATAATTCAAAATTTCCCTCTAGCTGAGAGAAGAAAATACTATCCATTTACATGTACAAGGCTAGATGGGAACCTACAGTCACTACCCCAGTTTGCCATGATGCAAAGGGGAATGCAGGAATTCATAGTTCAACTTCATACTGGGGAGGGAGTTCTTCCTAATCTGCTTCAGAAATCTGGCTTTCTCCTACCCTTCTCCATCACTGTTACTGTTGGGAAAGAAGCTTGTTGTCAGCCCCCAGACTCATTTGCTCCCACTTCAGCTATCAGAGACAGCAAATCAGTGAAAGTTTCTCTCTTGTGATCATCAGAAACTTACCATTTTGTAACCTCCTCCAGCTTCTCTGTGAGCATTGTTAAAATGGATATATCCTTCCTCAAATGCTTCAGGATTAAAAAGCATGGATTTCTTGCCCCCTAAATACTCATGATTTTGTTGCTGATGTCAGTATGTAAGCCCAGAAAACAAATCTTTTGTTCCATGATAGTTAATTGTTTTGAGGCTTGACCAAATAGCCACCTGTTAACTTAATCCCAAACATGGTAGCCTGACCTCAGTCAGCTTTTGACAGCTAAGTAATATGGTCTAGTATCCCTGGAATTCCCTGAATTCAGAGCTAGAGTTAATGACAGAAATAAGGCCGGATTTGCTTTTCCATTTCAAGTATTGAAGAACCACCTAAAGGTTACTATGGCTATTTTGCTACTCTGTGTGCCTTCAGTCATCAGACTTATTCCATTGGATGTGAGTACCTGGTGGAGAAAAGGTATGGAGAGTTATGATCAACTGCATATGTAATAGAAAATTGAGTCTAATTTATTGGGTTGAAGATACCAATTGAACACACTGCATGGCCCTCCATTGCAATATACTGACATTTGAAAATAATGAAACCTTCTTATTCTTGCTGTATAACCGTATTTTATTTGTCCAGGGGAAAAGTGCTTCTGGCAGCGCTGTCTTAAGGGGATCAAGAATGGAAAGCATGCTGCAGTCTCTTTATTTGGACAACAGAGCAGGCTACTACTTCACACAGTTCTGTGAGAAGTCAGGGAATAAGGTATGATCATTTTCCTACCCTGTGATAATTTAGTCTACAATTGACTGAATGCCAAGTTATAGAGGGCAGCCAGACTGAAAAAAAAAATGGAGAAAGAAAGATTGATGACTGGATGAATTATTACTTATGAGACTTCAATCCCTCAACAACAATAAACTGTTCATGTGTATATTCAAACTAATGACAGGTCTTAACCAAGCTGTCAGATCCTAACTGTCTCAGACCGACTGGAAATCTGATTGTACCATCAGGGATAAAAAAAGACTAATTGTTCTTAAAAACTAGCCTTTAACTTGGCAGAAAAAATGAGGTCTTAACCCACAAAAACATTTTTTAAAAAGATGGAAAATCTGCTCTGCTATTACTCATGATAATATACCTCCTTCTTACTTGTTGGGTTAGTGATGTCCAAAATCTCCAATGTTTTAAAAACGTTCTTCTGCTTCCATGAAGCTTCTTGGATTTCTGGGAAACATAACACTATTTCTTCGCAGTAGTCAGCAGATCCATCATTCATTGCTGGGTGTAAATTGAGGATTGGTTGGAACAAGTTATGAATCTGAGTCAGTGTTCAGTGGCTTTGCAGAAAAATTGAGTCTTTAGGGGAAACTTGAGTGCAATCAAGATGGCCATCTGTTTCACTGTTGGCACAACCCAGAATCCAGCAGCAGTAGCTAAAAATGCCTTTGGCTACCAGGAGGCAAGAGCCAATATTTCTAAAGCTGAATACCTTAATCTAAAACTGTTAGATGTGTATAGATAGAAATCTACATAAAAGTAACTTATTTTTTCATCAGAGATAAGCACCTACCCACATGGCCTGTAGTCTTTGCAGGTGCCAGACTCCTTTGAAAATTATTTCCTTAAGTTTCAACTACAACTGTGGAGCCTATTTCACTCATATGCCAGGTCTGGCAGCCTACAGTTTGTGGAACAAAGTTCCCTGCCCTTATCTTTTTGAGACACTATCTTTATTGTTCGGTGGTAGGGTTTTCAGGGTATTTTCAAGATCCAAACCCCATAAGCACATGGTTAAAAGAGAGGACCTGGGGAAAGACTCCTCCTTCTGAAATAACTTTTGATGTTTGTTTGGATTTATGAAATGAGGCCAAGACACTGTGCCTCAGAAATGCATGTAATAAAAATGTAATGACTGTTCCAGTAACATACATCAAGTACACAATATTTAATTGTTTTGGTTACTGCTGCAAAATGCTATTTCACCAGGGTACAAATCTTGCATGTCCATTATCAGCATTTCTTCTTTAGTGCTGGCTTTATGCCACTGAAATGTGGTTACTCTTCAAATGTTAACTACAATGTTAACAATTTTAATGGCCAATTATGCATAAAGGATTCAATAAAAGATATAATATCACAGTGATGATGCCATTAAATATGTTGTCCTTCTGCCAATATGCCTCAGAAGATTAAATCCATCTTAGATTGAGCTTGATTTATGGTGACCCCAAGGAGATAAATAACTACTTGCATTGGAAAGTGAACCTTTTATAAAGCTGTGATATTTGGGTAGCAATAACTTACAATATTTTTCATCTGTAGTTGTGGAAGAACAGCGTGTACTTTTGGTTTGACCTACAAGCTTATCATCAGCTTTTCTACCAAGAAACTCTTCATCCTTTCAAAATCTGCAAGCAAGCTCAAGTAAGTTGTAAATAATGTGTTTTCCCTTCAAAAATACACTTGTTCATTCCCTTCGAAAATACATTTATTCAGTGTAAAGACTGAAAAGAAGATAGAAAGCAGAAAAGTTTCCAAACCTTGACAACCTACACCAAAGTAAATCTGGATTGTGGACAATAAGAGAAGCTCTTTGGATTGGTTCCATGGTATTTCTTGATTTAAATGTTAAACATGCATAGTTTGATTTCTAGGCTCTGCTGCCTGTTCCAGTTTTATCTATTACACTCAGCTTACCTAATCTCCCCTTTGCTACTCTGTGTCATATTTGAAACTATCTGCTTAGTGTTAAGATCAGAGATAATATTTTTCTAAATCATCTAATTGTGCTTTACCTTTGCTTCGACCTGTGTGAGTTAGAATTGCAGGGCTCACAGTCCAGACCTTAGATAATGACCTTAGTCTTGAAAATGGATCTTTCACTGGTCAGTTCTGCTTTTTCTGATTGTCAGGGCATCAATATGCTCTTTTTGCAGTTGTCATCCTTTCCATTTGATCTTTAGACCCTCACTTAACTGTTGAGAGGAACTGGTATTTCCTATAAACAAGCACCCTTAATTACGCATGCACTGTGAGTCAGGGAATTAACCGAAAGTTAACTGGCTCATCACAGGCCATGCGTGCTGATGCTGTCAATAACTGCAGAATACTCTGAGACTGCCAGGGAAGGAGGCTGCAGCAGTGTGATATCATTAGAACTCTCAACTTTTAAAATTACTTTGTGAAACTTCGGTCTGTTTTCCTTCTGCAAACCTTGTGTAGGAGTATATCGTATCTGCGTATTTCAATATATGCTGTAATAAGCAAAGCTACTTCACATGTCTTTCATGTCTTTGAAATTAATATCATAGAGAGCAGTGGCTTGCTCTCTTTGTATGGTTTATGTTACTGAGTGTCTGGACTTCCTTCCATTTGTCTTCTTTTCCTATTTGGAGATTTTACTGGGGCAAATGACAGACTTTTGTGTATTTGTCCAGAATTACCACTTGAGTGTTATTTGTACAGAAACACCAAGCAGAGGCCGAGGCTTCCTTCTGCCACACACTGGCTAACTTAAACTGCTACTCTATTTAGTTGTTTTTCCCTCCAGCTCTACTTATGGCCTGAGGCTGACTGTCTCCCCTGACAGCCCAGCCCAGTGGCTAGGGACACTGCTCACAGCAGGTTAACCATACCTAGATTGTCTTCATTTTCCTATATGTTTTGTTGTAGGCCAAATCTTAGCTAATGGTCCATGGTAGTTTTCAACTTGGTTTCATTTCACACCAGCTCATATTCTTTCTGCAGTGGTTGCATGGCCCAGGTCCTTTTTACTTATTTCCAGTGCTGGCCTGGTGGTGACAGCAGAACATCATACAATCAGTGTTACCAGGCAATTACAGAGAGCTCCATACACATGGCCATTAAAGTAAATACATCAAAACGAAATATGTGAAACTGTTCCATTAGCATAACTAACAGCTGAAATGTAACATAGCAAATCAACACATGTGCTGTAACATTTGGTATCATTCTGTAGCTTGCCTTTTAAGGCTGCACAAATATAATTCTTGTTTTCACTGGAACACTGTAAAGAGTCAAGCTGCAACCAATCTACAGGGTCTGCTTATCGAAGAGATGCCTTCCCAAATTATGTGCTCACCTTTGGCACAATAAGATAGTCATTCCAAATATTCCTAAGAGAATGTGGGTCAGATTCGCGCAACCCATCGTCATGTATATTTTACTATTTATTACAGAAAGTCACATCCAAAGTATTCTGTATGTGTTCTGCCTGCTTCCTATTAGAAACAAGAGCAAACCCGGATTGCTGTGTATCTGTTAGTCATTGTTTCATTTGTTAGGCATTTTTATGATAGAGTAAGAAAATGCGTTCCAAGGTATATATTCATTCACCCAGGAACAGAAACTACAGTGAGAATGAAATGTGATGGATAAAAATAACGATGAGTACTGGTAATCATCCAGGAACATATATGGTTATTCACTATAAACATACACACATGAGTGTAAAATAAATTGAGAAAGAAAAGCAATAAAGAAAAAGATATTGTAGTTTTGGATAAAAAATAGTTATTTATAGTTAGAAGATTTAATGCAGTTATAGCAAGCACAATATTTTAACACTAGAATCAATTTAGACAAAGGGAATTATCATCACTGTTAACTTTTAGGGTCAGACATAAGATTTATGTTAGTGGAATGTGATGACAGGGTTAAGGCAGTTTAACCTTTCCATTTTAGACCAGCCAGTGCATTGTATTCTTCCATCATATGATTCTGTTGAGCAGCTGCACAAGCCCATCGTTTAGATCAGATCAATATTCATGCCTTTGGCAGCAATACAAGGCACTTGGAGTTCAATATTTTTCGTGTTTCTTGCTTCACTCTAGTCATTCTGAAATTGCTTACCAAAGTCTTCTCATGTGGGGCTGAATTCACACCAAAACCCAAGGCCTAAGCAAGTCCTGATTTGGAAAGTCATAAATGAGGCTAAAGACTTAATCTGAATTTCTTAAGTGTTCTGTATCTTCAGATTTGTGCCATTATAAGATGCAAGCTCTGATCAAATTTCCAGATAGGTTTCTGGGTTTAATCCATCACTTATCCTAATGTAATTATAGGAAAATGTATAGCTGGCAGGTAGGGAAATTCTTTATGTGTTACAAAAGGAGCAAAATACTGAATAAATAAAGTATGATGTGCACTTGACATCGCATGCGTAAGATTTTTGTATGAATTTGATAACCTTTAAGTTCATTTAATGTCATTTTTTCCTATTAATGCTTTAGGAGATTAGCCAGTAAAACAGTTTCACTAATTCATTGAGATTCAGAAACCCACAAGACTTCCATGACATGGGAGTCAAAAAAGGCTATGAATATTCTTTTTTAAAGGATAAAATGTATTTTCCCACTATCTCTTGCTAAGTTCATTTCCCAGTGTTGAAGTCTGTGAACACAGCCACTTTTCCTCTATTTTGGCATGTCTAGAACTTGTATCAGTTGGTTTATCTGCAGTCCTTGCATGCAAATCTAGATCTACAAATGCACCTGAACCCTCAGCAAGGACACAGGGAAGGATGCTCCTTCTTTTTTCTCCCGTCTGCATTCACTTTGTCACCTTGTGAAGTTATCTTTCTACTTGGTGGGCCAAATCCCATAACAATGGGTTCTTACTAGAATTCAAGAAAAAGATGGCATTATGCCAAATCCTCAGACACTGTAAATCTGCATCCTTCAAAAGTGAAGAGGCCATCCTGATTATAGCACTGAGGGTCTGGTCCTTTATGTTAGGAAAAGTGGACTCCTGTAGCTAGCCTAACCACCTCTAAATTTCTGCTTCACATGTATTAGCCCTAACTATTCACATGTAATAGCCCTAACTATTGTTTCTGGGAAAAAAAGTCTGTATTTACCATGCTCCAGTTTTGCATGTGAAATGATACAGAACTGGGGATTGGGGGGGGGGGGGGGGGGGTGAAGGGGTGGGGTTGTGGGGGGCATAGGGCAGAAGGAGTTCTGCAGGTAGAGCAGCCTGCAAAAGCAGACCTTAAAATGGCAATATATTGTGACAGTGTTTATGTGAACAGATTGTCAACAGTTTTTGACTAGAGCTTCCTTAGTCTGGGCAATTTCTGACTCTGTAGGCTGAAAGTTTTTGTCAGCTCTAAAGAAAAGTAGCAAATATACTCAAGTTAACTCATTTCATACAAAATCACAAGGGGAAAAAAGAGTTTCATCCAAGAAACTTGTGCAATGTTTGTTTTGATTTTATTCTTAAAACTATGCTAAAAATGATCAGCCACTTAAGGAACCTGGTTAAAATATTAAGGACGTGTTTTGGACCCTTTTCACTAATTTATAGATCTCTTGTGTGATTATATGACTCATAATAGGTGGAGCAATGTAGCCCTAATGATGAACAAAATGGTTAACCCCTCTATTTTTGAAGATACTATGTCTTGGTATCATTGGACTAGTCCCTTCTAATTTGGCTATTTTATATGTTAAATGTTTTGGATCAGAGTAGAACATGATGTAAATGAAACTTTTCTAGTGTTAGGGTTTTTCAACATAACTTCCAACTTTTTGATATCACTAATTGTATCTAATTAATGCTGTCTCTGTTAAATTTAAATTTATTTGGGGATTTGCTGAGGAGGGCATAATTTAGGATAAATGTGATTATTCTCAACTTGCTATGACTCTTCTTGTGGATGTCCTAATTCTTTGACCTTACCCTTACACCTGGGGTCTTTATTGCACTGATAACATGGATAGCCACAAACCATCTTTGTTTTCAGTGATCAGATCTATGTAGAAAGGGGGTGGAATGCTGCATAAAGAGTAAATATAGTAATCATAACAACTTCTAATTGGGGAATGGATGTCAGCCATCATAGCCCTGTATTCCTCAGTGACCTGGTATCAGGAGAGTCTAAAGGGTGTGTTTCAAATCGTTAAGGTCCAGAACAATAAGAATGTAGTCTGGTGGTTTTAAATAAAGAGTCTAATAGAACAGAATTTCATTTAAAACAAACAGAAACATGATTATTCAATGTAATCAAACATTCTCTCACTATGCTTGAAATTTAAACACAACAGTTTTATTACTGCTGAACATAGAGTAAATATATTATTTTCTTCTTCTCTACCACTTTGTACATCTGCTAGTTACAGCTAGATTTCAGCAACATAAGGAAAATGCAAATTATCAGAAACCTGCATTCTTCACTGTCAAAACTGTGTGATAATAAACAGTGAAGGTGGGCTCCTCGAGGCCATCCTAGAGACAAATTTGATTATGCTACTAATCTGATTCCTTGAACATATGTTTGAATATTAGTTAGACTTTGAAAATATGAAGAAGAGAAAACATTTATAAGTACATGACATCTACTATGGCAGATTCTTTTTTCACTCGCTTTCCTAGCTGCAGTAAGAATCATGCTGTATTAGAAAGATACTCTAGAATATCTTCTTCCAAGATATTCCTGGCAGAAAGTGCTTTTTCACTGAGTTTTCAATGTTCTTTTTCATGGCAATTTCTGAAACATTTAAAAACCAAGAATTTGACTTAGGGGACTATTTGGACGAAAAAAAAAAAGAAATAAAAAAAATTACCCTATGCTTCAAGAATGAACTGATAGAGAGAATGAAACACTCTCCAGGTTCAGCTTTCTTCTGTCTGTACATGGCAAACTCTGTGTGCTCCACAAAAAAGCATACTGTAATCTCTGCTTTGCTAAGTATTTAGAACTCAGTTGTGCAGTGCTATCTCCTGTTATGGATCCTATCCCATGATAGTGTCACTCATATCAAAGAACTGTGCATGAGAATCTCCACATAGAATTACAGAATTAAATCACTTTTTCACTTTTTCACTAATTTTAACCTTAGATTTACAAATTCCCATCTATTCAGAAGAAGACACTTTCACAAGTTGGCCTAGCACATATTCTGCAAAACAGCAAAGCAACTTCATGAAGAATGCAGTTGCTGTAATGGTTGTGGTTCCTGAATCTAACAAGGATCAGTCAATATTTCCAAATAAAAATTACATTAAGGGTTAATTTGTGATCTAACTTTACTTAAAAAAGTAAAAATGGCAGGGAAGTCAGTTATGGCAATAACTGAATTTCAGGCAAAATTGTAATATTGGTGAAAACAAGGCAGGTTTCTGATAGGTTAGTATCTATCTAAATAGAGGTTAGTATAGGTTAGATAGGTTAGTATCTTAACTAGATATATGTTTAGAATATACAGCAAGGCAGTATGGGACAAATATGCATTAATTCTCTCCTCTAATGGACTGTGACCATTGGAACAGATGATGGCTTAGAATAAGTTTTCTTCTGTTTTATTGTAGTTCCTTTATGCAACTTACATTGCCCCATCTGCCAGTATGGACATTGGACTTCATCAGAGGAAGAGAAACATGATTTATCAGAAAATTGACCCAGCTTTTGAAGATCTTTTTGACCCAGCAGAAGAATATATCCTCACTGTTCTGATAGAACCGTGGATGAAGATGATGGAAGAAGACAAATATACTTACGGAAAGGTAACTCATCTGGATGATACAGCAAAAAATTCTTATGATGGTGGAAGAAAACTACAAGAGCCTTCATATGCAACCCTGTTACATTTCTAGTCAGAAAGGGAGAAGTATTATGTGGTGTTTTGCTCACCCACTCCTTTCTACACTGATGAGTGGAGCAGGCTGGGCTTTTTGCAGAGAGCAAATTTCTCATCCGAGAGGAAGGTGCAAGCCTTGTGGACCCCTTGGTCTGTGAATTAGGGAGGAATGTACCTTACTATGGCAAAATTTCTCTTTGTACTCAGGAAGTGTCATGTTTCTGTAATCTTACCATTGATCAAATAAAAATAAGCTGTGTTTCTAGAGCATTAGTACCATGATGTTAGGCCCATATTAATTCTATCATCTATTTCCTGGTGTTCAGAATTAAAGTGCAGCTACTACTTAGCATAAGAGGAAATGTGATATGGTAATCCAGCTGTATTTGCCCTGAACACTTTTTAGATAGCTGCCCTGCTGTGTAAGGTCTAACTGTGCCCTGCAGGCTTCCTGAAGCAGGTGGCTCAGTGGTCTACTCAGTTCTAATTTCAGAAAGCCTCTGAAGGCTTGAATTAAGCAGGCTCATGCAGGTCAGAGGAAATGGCTGCAATCCTGACTGTGCTTTTGACAAATCAGAAATGGTGGAGCAGTGGTGGATGCTGTGGCTCTCTGCAGTTCATACTTTCTTACAAGTTACCAGCTGCAGGTCAAACTTCTAATTCCAAGTCTTTAAGATCTCTCTCTTTTAGGTACAGAAGGAGAAACTTACAATAAGAAATCAGGAGTTGGAGGGTGGAAGTTAGTTCTTGTTCCTATTTTTCTCCACTATGACCTTAGCATCTCCATTTTTTACAGTAAATATCGTTACTTACAGCTGATACTTCTGTCAGCATGTAACGAGAATGTGCATGCATGCATTGACCCCACAAGATTCTGAATTCCTTTTGTGGCAGTTTTGTAGTACAGTGTATTTTTGTTACTATGTTGTGCATGCATGTATGAATAACCAGGAGAACAGATACCCAAAATAAAACTTGACAATGACCTTTTAAGCCTATTAAATTGTGGCCAATATTAAACATTTAAGAATATAGTATAAGAACAGGAAAAAAAAAAAGGCAGTATTGCCAGCTTCAGCACTCTGCAACTGAGGAGACGAACGAAGCAGTGGTCTTATCCACATTTTTATGTCATAATAGTCTTTGATGAGTAGGTTGGTTTTTTCCCCCCAGGGATTTATGTAAATATGTCTTGAGTAATTTTCTATCTTCAGCCTCAGTGCAGTAACGGGTTCTGTGTTTTAGCCATACAATAGGAGAAAAAAAAGTGTATCTTGGTTTTCTTGCAAACCTCTCCCTGATAATTTCACATGGTGCCCTAGTTTTGTATTTTATGAGGAACAGTGTACAATTGTTATCTTGTATTCTTAATGTTGTTATGCTTTTACATGTTTTTGTTTTACCCCACTTCGGTTACATCTCTTTGAAACTCAGGAACCCTAGACTATTTGTCCTCTCCTCTCACAGAAGGCATTCCATACCTTTATTACACTTATCACCCCCATCTGTTAATTCATATATTTGTGATGAGATGTAAGCAGTACTCAAGATCTGAATGCACTAAGGATTATTCAGTGGCAGAATCATGTTTTCTGTTTTGATCTTTGTTCTTTTCCTAATTGTTCCTTGATTCTAACTGCCTTTTGACTCCTGGTGAACTTTGAGTGGATGTGCAATATGTAAGCTAACAGCCATTTGCAATGATTCCAACATCTCTTAACAGAGTAAGAACAACTAATTGAAAGCCCAATTTGGAGCTTATTAGAATGACTTAATTTTTGTTGTCCTTTAATTCAGCTGCCCTTTTATCATGCAGATACTGAAGTGTCCTGAAATCCTGCAACTCTTCAAAGTCAATATACTTTTTTTTGCCCTGTGTTTGCAAACTTTGCTGTATCCTCACTCACTTCCTTTTCCAGATGATTTCTGATGTTTAAAGAAAACAACCTCAGAGCAGATCCCTGTGAGACTCTAATGGGAACCCCACCCCACAATAAAATTTATTTATTTCTGTATTTTGCACTTTCTACCTTACAATTAATCCACACAGGGGCTTTCCCTCTCATCCTGTGATAACTTAATCTCCTTCAGAAATGTTGAAAATTTGAACTTTGAAAAAAACCTTATCAAAATGAAATATACTAGTCCAAACACATCTGCAAAATATTCTCTTCACTTTTCAGCATCTTTTCTCAGCTTTCAGGTAAATTATTTTTTTCTAAGCTATTTCAGCTATAATTGTTCATGAACTGCAGAAAACCATGTAATTGATCTATGATTTTATTAATATGAAGTTTTTGGTCAGACATTAATATGAAGTTTTTCTATCAGACTAGTTTTAGTGTTTTGTAAATCTATATTTTCCATGTGTATTATCAAAACTAGTAGTCTAGTAGTTGATGCCAGTCCCCACTGAGTCAGGTCATGGACTCAGCCAAGTATTATACATCATTTTTATACAAAAAGGACTCTGCTTTTGAGCACTCTCCAAATACAGTGCTTTCACTGCTTCTAGTGATTGAAGAATTCCTCCAAAGTAAGAATTGAAAATATAAACTTTTGCTTTAAATTAATGTGTTTGTCAGTTTATACCTCCTTGAGTTAACTGAGGGATAGTCTATTGCCCTTTCAGTTTAGATGATGCTTTGCTTTGCACGTGTAGTTAGGTGCAGACTTCTCAGTGCCCTAATAACACAAACATCTTAATCAGAGCATGAAAAAACAAAACTAAATACTTTTGAGCACACAATACATGTGTTTGTGAAGAGTTATAATGCATAGATATAACACGACCTGTTCTAGGAGGCACTAGAGTCTCTTTGTACTAAGCACAGACTGATGCTTAGGCACACACTCCTTCTCAGCACAAAGACAAGGTCTGCTTTACGTTTTGTTCAGTCCCTGGCTCTACTCTTCCCTTTTGTTCTACCATACAGCAGGATGTATTTGGCCCATTATGAAACAAGATACTTTAACAAGAATTAGGTGAGTCCAAAATTGTTTCTTTGGGACATAATCAGCATGTATCTACATTTTTACCTTTAAATGAACATGAAAGCAGGAGATTCCCTTTTTATTGTTGACTCTCATCCTGCCTCTATCTGCTTTCTGTTTAAATTATATAAAAAATGTTTTGGATTATTTTCCTATTTACTTTTAAACTATGTTTTCTTTTAAAGGAAAGAATATCCAAAAGCACTTTATAACAGTGGAATAGAATTATTTCAAGCCTGAAGGCATTCAGATAGCACAGTGATTAGTGGGTGTTCACATGTAGACAAAAGCATAATGAATATTAATTTAAAATCGGCCTTCTCTCTCTTGCGCATAAATGCGTGTATAATAAGACCATAGCTTTCTAATCTTTGTAGTGGGTGTGCTGATCTGTATAACACATTGGCTTAATTTTGCTAAATATCCTAAAAACTGCATTTGAATGGTTTAGTCAGCTGAGAGGCTCATCAAACTATTCCTTATGCAGTTACTGATTGTTTTCATGTAACATCGAGAACTGCTCTAGTTATATACATGAAGCTTCTAATTAAATTAAAGCACACCAATGCTTCATGAGTTCTAACCATGGGCAACTTATTATTTTAAAGCATTACCTGGTATAAAACTAAGAAGGTGCCAAGAAAGTCTGAAAGCTTTCACCTTTGTTATTTAGATATTTTAGCATTCTTATTTTAAATTTCCGTTTCTGGAAGTCTGTGCCACTCTTATCTTTTTGACATTTCCCACTGAGAGTCACAGTTTTAAAAACTTTTTGTGATTCTCAGTGACAGTCTGATACATAATTTGCTGGTATAAGCAATCAGGTGCATTTTATACAATATACACAGCAGAGTATATACACAATATACACAATAGATTGTATGCACAATATAATTTAGCAATTTTTTTTTATACAAAGCTATTTTTTAAAAGATAGCTTTTTCGTGGTGTTCTGTGGAAATCCACGTTATCTTACACAGATATGAAGATTTTGTTCTACTAGAGCTTTTAATTGAATTGTTTCTCATAAAGATGTAATGTCTAGTATCTTCTAAACATCAACCTCATTACTGCCAAATGTATCCTTTTCTATCCCCTGTCACTGGCAAGGTGCCTGTTCAGTTCTCTCCATCTTTCTATAACGTGTACTGTAGGGATGACATAAGATATTATTTTTATTAGGTGGAGCTGGTGGAGGAAACTCGACAGCTGGACTCCGTATACTTTAGAAAGCTCCAGGCTTTGCATCAAGAGAGTGGTTCCAAGAAGCATGAGGTAAGACAAGTACCTACTAACAAAAACAAACTCATTTTTCTATCAGAAAGGGTTGAGTATCAGCAGTGAAAGACTGACTACTTGCCAGTTTGGAGAAGCTAGTAGTCTGACTTCTACCATTAATTCTGGGGAATGATTGACAGGTATTGTGTTAATTACAAAAATAGGTCTTCTGCCAGTAACATCAGCATCAGACCACTGTATGATTGGAGGCAGTAACAGAGTTTCCACAGAAGTCTGTGGAATGTATTTTGGGCCCTTAATCTTGAGTAAATACCTACATTTCAAGTAAATTACCAGTATATATTTGTTTATTTGATTATGGAACCTGGTATGTTTAAAGCAAACATAAAACTAAAGCTGATTAAGAGCTGGAGCTTTAATTTATTTTCTCAGCAATCAAAAGCTGTTCTACAGAGACAGAAGTTATCTAATGCAAGGATTATCAGACTGAGCAAAACATAGAGATGAAAAAAAGCAGTTATGCAAGTGAAAGAATTTCTTCCTTCAGAGTACTGTTGCTGACACTGGTCTGCCATCTTGCCCTGATGCTCTCAAAGAAGACAAGCACTTGAGTCAAGTTCCCAAAGAATTGACAGGTCCTAATCTATCTGACCTCATCCATGACAAAGAGAAGTTAGAACACTTCTGGGCTTTTCTTAACGAGCGTTCTGCTAGGTATGTTTTTTTGTTATTATTATTTTTCCCATTTCTAAGTTCAGAAGAAATTTTTGCTGGGGATCTTGGCTATCTAAATGTTCACAGATTTTAGCCTTTTAAAAAAATGTGTTTGTATATTTATGAAATACACATGCACATTGTTCCTACAACTGAATTGCCTTAACATTTTGGGGTAAAAAGTCTCCCTACATAACATGCTTGTATTACAGTTCTGCTTTCAGTTTCTGCTTTCATTAGTGGCAAAGCCCTGAGGAGAACAATTAGCCTACAGTGAATAAAAATTTCTCTTTTTTAGTACAGACTCAATTTAGTGCATTTTAAAAATTAAAGCTGGGTATTATAACAATGTACAAATAGAAGACAGACACATTATTCTTACAGTGTGAGAACAACTGCAGTTTTGTGTTTGCACTGATCTAAACAGAATTAAGGACCAGCTTGTAGCAGATACAGTTTATGCAGGGTTTTTGGAAAAGTGCGCCCATTTGTTTGAAAGTGAGCATCTAAACAGAAGTTCTAGTACTAGCAGAAGTAAATGTGATTTTGCCCCCCCCCCCCCCCCCAAATCTCTATCCTGTTTTAGGAAAAGGCAAATATACTTTTTAAGTAACTGCTAGCAAGTTCTGAAACTGTCACTTCCTTCCTTTAACCTGGGTTCCCATAAACGGATGCTTTACGTACTGCCTCTTGTTTCTAGTCAAGCACTGCTATCATTTTAGACCAGATACTGGTCAGCTCTTCTGCAAGTGTCCAGAGATAGACATCTAGGACAACTCCTCTGGCCAAAATTCAGTGTCATCACTTCTGCAGGTCCCTATGTTCAAGTGAATTCTGAGTTAGTTATCTAGACCAGTGGTCTCCAAATGTTCTTGATTGTGCACCCTATCAGTAAAAAATTTTTGAGCATGCACCCTTGATATATGTATATTTATTTTTTATAAATTATATACATGTCCTACTGAAGTTCTATTATTTTCTTACTGTTCCCCAATGAACCATCTCTTTGTACACCCTGCTTTGGAGACCACTGGTCTAGAGTTTGCCTCTAACTGGGTAAATGGCAGAAATCACCAGATAACAGGTCACTGGCTAAGATCAGGTCTTGGGACAGGTACACTGAGTTACCCTCGGGACTTCCTGCCTCCCTGTTAATCACAGACAAGTCCCATTTTACATGATAGACCCAAGCAGAGAAATATTTAATTTATGGAGAAATTTTATTTTGTAAAAATTTATAATGAATTAAAAATTTGAAAAAAGTCTCACAAAACAGTGTTTCAGAGCTGAGTCCAGATCTAGTAACTCTGAAGTCCAACCGGCATGCTACAGTTAAGATACTTAATGGTACTATAAGCTTGAAGTGATCCTACAATTAATGCAGTCTAGAAAATTTCAGCAAAACCCAACAAATATGTCATTTGCTTCTTAATCAAAATGTGTAATTTTGTTATTGCCTAATTACAAGAGATCCAAGTTTCAGGAAGGACAGACTGATTACCTCAGCACAAATTCTTGTTTGAAAAGAGTTCCGTCAATAAATATTTTGTTAAATATATAGGACATATTCACACAATTGCAAAGCAGTTACTTTACCCATTACTTTGGGTTAGTGATTTACCACCTATTAGTCTTGCCAGACTGCCTATTCACATGCTCCTGATCTGTTGAAAGGAAAAAGTAGAGTATGGTAAGACAAGCCACCACTGTAAACAGTTTAACCTAACACACTTTCCAATTAGATATTTTGCTTTTTAAATAAAATGGACATATTTGATTGTTTGTCATTGGCAGATGCCAAGGAGTAGCTCCATAAACCACAGTGACTTGGATCACTTGCATTTGGGTGAACTTACGTTGTGATGAACTAGCAAATGAAAGAATTTCAGTCTCAATAGAACTTAGGTCTCAAACTACTTTTGAAAGTGGACATCTGTTCTTAAATCAGTTAGATGCTTGTGAAAATTTTATTTCTAGATTAATTCTTTGAAAAAAACAGTTATTAACTGAATGGAAAAGTGAAACAGATTTGTCTTAATTTAATGTTTCATATTTTCTTCTGCAAATATAGTGAATATCCTTATTAAAGTGCTCACAAAACTTCAGATAATAAGATACTATCAGAAAACAGCCTATAAATAAAACTGAAACTGTAGGTATGTCACTTATTCTGTCCTCTGGTTTAAGGAACAAAACCAATATATGTTCCATTAAACCAAACTTAAATTAACAGTGTACACATAATCAAATATGAACAAAGTTTAAGAATTGCATATGGTGATTAATTATCATTTACTATGAATATTGAAATAAGTAGTAGAACCAGTGATTTATGGAGAGGCAGCCTACACAAAGCCATAGAAACAAAAGCTACCATAAATTGTTTTTGTCTGATTGACTGCAAACTGACTTAAGCTCTAGCACTTCACACAGGGTAGGAACAGCGTGATTTCTGGGGCTGATGTTTCCAGATGTCATCCCTCCTCCTTTCTCAGGCAATATGACAAGGAGGCAGAACAGGAAGTGTCAACTCATCTCTTGGTGGCTCACAGCCTCAGTACTGCTTCAAATTCTCATCTGTTTCATTTTTCATTCTCTCTGTGAGCTCTGCACTATGACTCTGGTTCACAGTCCCTGCTGGAATTAGCAGCAACACACTGCGGAGGTTACTTCTTTCAGGGTACCTCACAAGGGACTTTAAAAGAGATCCCAAAGATGTGTTTGATCTGCCTGTTCAACAAGTGGCATGGTCTCACCAGATGGTACTAGCAAATTAAAAATGACATAAAATTTCAGTCCAATCTGACCTGATATTTCTGGTGGCTTGTGATTAAAGTAATAACTCTCCAGAATGTTGATGAAATTAACTCAATATTGAAAAGACATTCTGTTTAAATTTGTTTGTAGCATGGATCTCATGTGCTGGCTAGATATTGAACAGTTCAGAGAGACGCTCCACAAGGATAAAGAAAATAGGGAGGAAAAATCTAAAGACATTAAAAACAAGTACTTCAACAAACAATACTTCTTTGGACCCAACAGCCCAGCTACCAGAGAACAACAAGAACAGGTACCAGTTACAAAACTGTTCATAGAAAAAAATCACACTGAATATGACTGAGATAAAAGTCCATAAGCAGCTTTGCTCCAGGTTTTCCCCTGGCTATCTCCTAAAATTTTACCTGTATTTTTTGGCCAGAAATCTGGTTCTGGTTGTGGCAGTCTCTTCCTTCCTGTTCAGGCTCTTCCTCCCACTCTCCTTACAGAACATCTCTCTTAAACCCTGATCTGAGGCTGCAGCCAGCGCATGCACAAAAAAGCTCAGAAAAAGCATAAAAATGGCTGTCAGGTAGAGTGACTTGTTCCAGGTTCCTATCTTAGTACATCAGTAAAGCTACAGACAGCAAGTCTGAGCTGTGGTACTCTGATATGTCTTGATACTTCAGAAATTTACTTGGTCAAGCTGGGGTAGTATTTGCTGGAGTCTGTATTCTATTATAGGTAGGGACAAATGTAATCTGTTCCCTTTTATGAAAAGTACATGTGAGCCTTGGGTAAGCATGCATTAAATGCTTTGCTTACAGTTTAAGCTCATGCTTTGCTAAATCAAGGATGTAGAAAGATGAAGGATTTTTGGTATACACAGAAGTTTATGTCATGTGTTATTGTATTTGGATTGCTCAGATAATTCATTCAGGTGGAGGATGGGGACAAATCCTTCAGGATCAATTTTCAGCAACAGTTCTGCTAGAAATTCAGCAATGTGTCCAGAAGAGATTAGAAGAACAATGGCTGCCATTGTTCCTGGCAGATGAGCACCATCGGGTGGAGGGACAAGCAAAGGTAATTTTTTAAGAACAGCAACACATCCAGACTTTGCGTGTTGTTTGGCTCATAATTCACTGTTGGGATAAAATGGTTCAGATGAAAAGCAGCTCACAACTCACATTCAGTTAATGTTTAAAGAGACACTGTTGCATGTACAGGTTGAAGTATTTAGCCTGGTAACTGTGAAGGTAGTTCCTCTGAACGCTTAGTCTAGCTGACAGTATTATTGTTCTATCCTAAATGTGAAGAACCTGGTGTTAGTTTTGCTGCCAGCCAGGCTGCCAGAAGAGTAATCTAATCTTTGCCATAGTGCTTTACTGTCTATATGACATTTTGCCCTAGCCATACCCTTACATACAGAAGAAACGCTGCTTTGTATAAAAGATTTGCCCAAGGGGACAAGAACACAAGCAAATGAGTGGGCTTTCCCTGCTGTATTCTCTCTCTTCCTCTCTCTTTAATGCTGCCTGTATTCTCCCATCTGGAGCTGTGGTGTAGAAATTACTCCAGGGCTTGTGAAATCTGCTGAGTGGGGATGTTAACTGCTACAAGCCTTGTTTCAATTGGTTACTTCAGAAAGTTGCCAGAAAACTGGGAATGAGGAGCCTTTCACTCCTGCTGGCTCATTAGAAGGACTGGGGAATGGGCAGAGCTAACATCTGCCTTTTATGAGTGTGCCTATGTGGCTGGGATCTATGTAGGGAGATCGTCCTGATGGTGACAGATGCAAAATGACTTGGCTTTTTGCACTTCCACAATTGCTTCTGAAATGCAAATGTCACATCAGAAGGAAACTTGACAGTTCCACCAAGCAGACAAATACGCGCACTGTGGTGATTCATAAAACTTGTTTTCTATCCTCTTTTTAATATCAAAAAGGTTATCAGAAGTGTTGTTGGAAGTGCATATGAACTGTAATTCTTTTCATTGATTCAGAGCACTAAGCAATCTGAGAAGTATAGGTTCTGATAAGACAAACAGTGATTTTAATAAAGAATATGCTAATTAGAGCAAAATTTCCTAACCCTCTGCCCTTTTCAGCTGACCTCTGCCTCCTTTCCAAGCCCTGGCACAAGACCATGCACTAAGGCTAAGCTGCTTCCAGGTCTGGAAGCTAGCTCATGCATCTTCTTGCACCTGCTGCACTGTGCTGGCAGGGAGAATAGCCCACACAGTTTGGAAGATGCTGTATTCAACAGTTTATAGGAAATACATACTTCTAATGAGCTTTCAGTCTTTCTACTCCATTGATGTCTGAATTCTCTTTTCTCTTTCTTATTGCAAATTCAGAGGATGAAAAGGTCCTTTGAAGAAAGTATTTCAGAAGGAATGAAACCAGATGACATTCTCAAATTGGCTTCATATTTCACAGTGACCAAGTACAGTGGCCATGCTCGGTAGTCCTTACTCAGAAAATCTGCCCTTGATTTGAGGTGTATTTTTCCTACAAAGAAGCTGTGAAGTCAAGTCTGTGTTTCTGATATAGCTGTCCAAAGGAACCAAAACAATTTCATACCAAAAAAAGAAAAGAAAAAGTCCCAAATTTCTTTCTAACATAATTGATCCCTCAGAGCATTATGGATAAGATAAACCAGTGGAAGAGTGCAGTCTGACTGCTACTGCCTGTTGCCTTCTTTAACTTCCCTCTCTTGATGAGCATGTGCTCATTTATAGCTGAATGAGGGATGGCATTCAGTGTGGGTCCACAACACGATTCAGATATAAGCATCCATATGAAGATGTATCAACTATAATAGTTACTGAGCTGAACAGGAAACAAGAAGAATTAAAAAAAGCAATTATAATCTGTTCAATCGTAGATAAGGGACATAACTGAAGATCTTTCACGACAAAAACAGAAGACAACTAGGCTGTGGAAGGTAAGTGAAGTTTCCTGACTCTTGTGTCTGCAGTTTCACCGTCTTTTTCATTTGGACCTTGCACATCCTTCACAATTTCCATGCTGACAGTGTGTGGCCCAAATGTAATGCTGTTGAAAGCAGGCATGATTGTATTGGCTGCAGTGGACTGATTGCTCACATCACTGGTGAATTTAGATCCCTGCTGGGTGTTCATGGTAGATTTCTCTCCCTTCCTGGCTGGGGAAGTCATACTTGAAAAAACATGTCTCTTGTCCTGGGCTTTGGAACACTAACCCTCCTCAAACTGATATTGTACCTTTAATTCACATTTATCTGTATTTTGCATGCAATGGACTTATTGGGACAAGCTGTTCATTCCAGCATCTGGTAGTTTATTTATTATTGCGAGTGGATTACGTGCAGACACAAAAGGGAATGTGAAGTATGCAGTGGAGTGGGCAGGTTTAATCGTATCTCACAGTATCTGTTTCATTCAGAATTGTATTTTAATCTTATAGTACTGAGATAATATCAATTTTAAACATCTTAAACCTCTGTAATAATACATTTCATCAGATGTTTGCCAGTTTTTTCCTCTTGAAGAGCAGTGAACTCTTTGTGATTGCCAACACACAAGTTGTGTACATTTATTCAGTTGAACTTTTATTGTCTGTTGAAATCAAACTGGAGACCCGGTCACCAATTATTCATGCAAACCATCAGCTCAAAAGGGATCCGAAGGGCATGTGGGTTCTGTTAGCTGAGTTTTCCCTTTGTCTGTCAGGAAGATGGTTATTTTCCCTGTTCTGCTTCAAGGTTGACCCATAAAATAAGCAGTGTTCATATATTAGTATAGGGATGGGAGCAACATTTTGTTCTTCCCTTTATGCACATGCCCCAGAAACATGTTTTCCAAAAAGTTGCCTAAATCCTGGTCACAGGGGGCAGAACATGACTGGAGAATTGGAAGAGGGGTGAGATGATCCCATCTTACTGTCTAATCTGAGCTGACTTTATTTTAACCAAAGGACCTTTTGGACAGCCACCACTCACCCTTTTGCTAGGGTAGGCTCCTACCCCTGGCAGCCTCTGTGGCAGGACGTAAAGTATAACCCCTGTTCTTAAGAGAAGCTGCAGAAAGACCTTCAGGTTAGAGTCAGGTTAGATTTCCAGGGCTGTCTGCAAGAACTAAAAATGCCTTTGTCCTATGCTGACCATCGAACAGCACTCCATCCCTTCAGGACTTCAAGAATTTTATACTGTTACAAGACAGTTATCATTCATCCATCTGATAACAAAAGTGGGTTGTTTGGCTTGCTTCTCAGTGACAACACAAGAACTGTTTGTTCAGGAACGCAGGCCAGCCTGAACTTATTTCAAACAAACTGTCTCTGAATAAGCCATTTTTCTTTCTCCACCCTTTCCTGGCTGCCTACCACTCTGTGCTTTGCAGCATGTCTCGATGACTGTGAAATGTCTCGGCTTTAAATTTCCTTTTACTATTGGTGGCTTTATTCCACAGAGAGCAAACTCTCCAGCTTCTGTTGGTGATCATTGCAACACATTTCAAAGCTCATTTTGTTGGTGAGATCCCTGTCAGAAGCATTTTACAACTTTAAGCTATGTGGTTTTTCTGTGTCTTTTTCTTTGTTGTTTGTTTGCAGAAAACTCAAACTGTTCTCTAGAAAAGTAGCCTGTTGCCATAATCAATAACAATAGCTGTTTCCATACTTTATAGTATGTAGTCATATGGTCTAAATCATTGTCAGTCATTTCCTCTCCCATCACGTCTTCCAAAAAATGCTGCCCAAACCAAACTGGAAAAAAAAAAAGAAGAAAGAAGGAAAGAAAGAAATGAAACCTTGCCACATTCTATTCCATCCATGCCATAAACTCTTAAACTACTGAAAGCTAGGGTCAGTGCAGATAAGAATCAGACAGTTTATGCTAACTATCGCCTTTGTTATTGCTTTCTGAAACAAAGTTTATTTGGTGCATTTATTTCTTCTTTTGACAGCAAGCGAACAATAAGTGTGTTTCTTCATCTAGTGAAGTAATTGCTTTCCGCAAAGCACTGTTGAATCCAGTAACAGCCAATGAATTTCAACGTTTTGTGTCACTGCAAGGAGATCTACTGGCCAATGGATTGCTCTTTTGGCAAGAGGTCCAGAAGTATAAGGTACAGTGGCGAAATGGAGCAAGGGAGTGTCACTCAATTTGTAAGCAAATGCATTCAATACTGCATATTAGGAGAATTTTAACAAAATATCTCTAGGTATTTTCTTGTTCATCGTAAAAACTATTTCACTGTTTAAACCTTTTTTCTTCTACAAAAATTCTCACTTCTTAAAGGTAGATATTTTAAATTACTTGAATGTATTATTCCTACAGTTCTTTATGTTTTTCAAACTGTAATATTCTTCTGAGTCTCTAAAGGGACACTACTAACTAGCTAATGCCCAGATTTTGGTATACATCTGCTGAGCAGTACAAAATACGTGAGCATTAAAATGTTCATTCTGTCTTTCTAGTTGCATACTGTTAAATAATGGGATTATTGCTGAATCCGGCAATCACTCAAAAATCAGAGAAAACTAAACTTTTAAATTCAATCAAATGTACAGATACAAAGACAGTATCTCCATAAAAAGCTTATATGTACAATGCAGAACCCAGCTCCCTTGCATTTTGTAGTCACTTTTGACTGCAGCTGAAGACATGGCTGAGATGAAATGTGATGGGGAAGGTCAGCAGGGATTTCCACTCTCCCAAATACATCACCCTTTGTGAAATTGCTGCTCTGTGGGGTGAAACACAATGGGAAAACTCTGGAGTGAGCTTTAAATCACACTGCAGTCTCCTAGCATCACCCTGGACTGAGCACAGGGACACCACATATCTTTCACATGTTCCTCATTCCTTTTGCTTCTGCGATGTTGCTGATGCAAAGGTGCTACCACAGTGCAGAGCCTTTCCTGAACTCCTAACCATAGGCTGTGTGCACATTGCATGCAGGAAGCATGAGGTTAGAACAGGCTCAGAAATTAGGAGGTAAACACAGCTGATGCTGCAGTAGCACATGCATCAGCATCAGCACTGGAGATCCTGCTGTAGGCATATGGGTGTAATTTCATTGTCTGATTTTACACATTTGAATTTGGGGTCTGCTTAAGAAGCTGAAGCTCCTTTGTTTCCAGGGCAATCTCCCCTCACATCCCCAAGCAAGGAATCATTGGCTGAAATGCTCTCTGGGGGTGCTGCTGTCTCTCATTTTTAGAGTGAATAGCTTAGACTAGAAGCTTGACATGAAGGCACCTGAAATTCCAGGGCATAAACCCTTCTCAGATTTATGACTCTTCATTGCTACATTGTGGAGGACATGTGGAGTGTAGTTTAGACTGTTTTCTTTGTGGATCTACTCTCTGAAGAAAGGCTTCATTGTTTTTTGTCCCACCCCCTCTCTTTCATTTGTTAATTTTACTTGTCTTCTTATCAAGATAAAGTACAATCTGACCATATTTTCACATGCATGAGATTTGTCGTGGTTTGCAGTTGATGCTCTTTTATAGAAGCAAAGGGCTAGAGTATTAGGAGTGTTGTGGGTCAGGCTGAACTGGAGGCACATTGCCAAAGACGTGGGCAGCACTTTGCACAGTGCATGCTTGTATTGTCTGAGCTCTATCATGCCATCAGTTTAGACAGAACTCCCTCTAGGAGTCAATGACTGCATCGCTCCCTGTAACCCATCAGGCTGGCAGCACATCTTGGGACAATCCCCAAACATTTTTTATTTCTTAAACAAATACAAAAAAGATAACTCTGTGGATCATTTCCATCTGCTCCTCTGTGCTCATGTCTCATCCCTCTTCATATCATATGGCTTGTTTGTCTTCTCACTACGGCTCTCTGCCTTTTCTTCTATGTTAGATGAACAAAGGAAGCCATAATATATTCTTAGGATATATTGAATATGTTTTTGTATTGCCTTACTTTGTTCATTGTAGCTGTTATCGTTCTTTTTTCCATCACAAAACTATTCATAATAATAGAAGCCAGCTCTTTCGCATACCACATTTCTGGTTAAAAGCCCTGTTTTTAATTTCTTTGCAAAGTAAATATCCAGCCTCCTATACCAAAACTAAATGTGTATTCTTCATTTAGAGCTCTCTTCCTGAAAATTCTCTAGAGGGCTCATTGTGTCTCTAGTAGATAGACGAGATGATCTCCTAATGTTACAGAAATTTCTTGGTGTTTATGGATAGATGGAAGGTTTGTGTTCCAAAGCATTTGAAGGATGTTCACTGAATTATTTTTCCTTCTTGTCAAAGTCCAATTGTAGCACTGTCAGAGTGTGAAGACACAGTAATAACAGGCTTTACAAGAACAACAATAGGATCACATTAAAAAAAGGTAGCAAACCTCCAGTGTTCCTTTGACATCTCACCCTTGTAAGTTCAGGTTAATTTTATTTTCTGTTCTGCCCAGAGTTTTTTCAAACACTGAGGTTTTGGGAAGCTAGAAAATGAATGGTGAAACTAGTAGATTTCAATGAATGGAAGATCATACTGGTAGTTTAGGGCATGGCTTTGCCTTTTAGTTACCATGGGTATGCTAGTCATAGCAGGCTCATTGTGAGAATCAGTGCATTTCATGCTTGTAGGTGTGTTTCTCTTTTCAGAAATGCCTCCTATTTGACAGTAACAGACTGAATGCAGAATAAATACTATCATGTTTCATTAGAACGTGCAGGCAGAGATTATTACCTAAAAGCAAAGATTGCTATTATCTGCATTTGCAAACCAGAAGGCCTGCTCATGTCTTAACTATGTCTTTGACCGTGCACATTTGCTAAAAGAATTTTGTCCTACATACTGAAAGGATCTACTGTGTAATTATTTTTGTATGACTATTACTCTTTGATCACTGGGCCCCTGGAAAGGGTCTTGCCTCTCTCTCTCTCTTTCTTGACTGAATATGCTATTTTTCATCTTTCAGGACTTGTGCCATTCTCACTGTGATGACACCACAATCCAGAAAAAGATCACCACTATTATTGACTGCTTTATTAATTCTGCCATACCTCCAGCTTTGCAGATTGACATCCCAATGGAACAAGCAAAGAAAATTTTGGAGCACAGGAGAGAGCTAGGACCTTACATTTTTAGAGAGGCACAGGTAAGAAGCTGGGAGAATCTTTATAATGGGTCTGGCTAGAGTCTGCTTGTCTGATTTTAAGGAGAGTCTTTGTTGCTCATGTGACAATTTGGACTCCATACATAAACATGGGCATGAAGGAGAACAGTATAGTAATGCATTTCAATGAAGATTGTACAGTGGAGATGACAGAAAGGCTTCAGATTTACTGCTCAATAAACCGGGCAATCTCTGACAGCTGGCAAGGCATTACCCAAGACTGTGTTAGGAATTCTGGCAGTAGAAATCACTTATGTCTATGTTTTTAATTGCTCGCTCTTTACCACTTGGTTAATGAAGGCAAAGTAATTTGTAGGTAGAAAGTTTGTAGTTTTTGTAGTTTGTGAAAAAAACGCAGATGTGAGTAAAGCACAAGACAGCTTCACTTAATATCTTTCCCTTTATTACAGAAAGCCTGTATTAAATGGCAGTAGACAATTTTCTCTCTGATCTTCGTACTAATCAGACTGAACAGGAATTTGTTAACTTTACTATAGACTTACTATTTTCTTATTCCTCAATACTGTCTTCTCTGATCAATCTTCTAAACTTAAGAAAGCTAGTTCTTCTTGTTTTCCTTAAAAATCATTGCCAACACCTTTAAGCATCAACTGTGAGTTTATAAAGTGTTTGGACCACAAAAGACGAATGGTTTGTCAGAGAAAAGTGTACCTATAGGTCCTAAGAGAAATAGAAGTGTCATTTCAGCCTGTGTAAAACCCACTGAACTCCAGAAACATGGCACAAAACCAAGGGAAGAACTTGGCCAAAAAGCTGTGACAGGCACATGAGAGGGACTCGCATGTCACTTTCAAATCCAGAAGCAGTGAGGTGCTGAGCATGTTTGGCTCCTTTGAAGCCCAGTTTCTCAATGAGAATTAAACATCTAAACAAATTGAAAAATGTGAGCCTTAGTACGTGCAGCAACAGAATTGACTGACCCCCTCTGTTTGCTTTTGTAAAATTGTTTTTCTTATTCTAGTTCAAAAAAGACCCTGTGAGAGATTATATCATTTAGAAATTATCCAAGATTTGCTCATAGATCTGTAATGTGGTTTAAGAGCCTTTCCAGAGGCAAAAAAGTATTTCCTTTCTCTTAAGGAGGGGAAAAAAGCCCTCCTCCTAATGAACTGAATATTTGAAATACTTGAGCAGAACAGTGGTGCAAAGGCAATTCTACTGGTGTATATGTTATCAAGAATACTTGTAAAAAATGATGGATGTTTTCATTAATGCAAACAATTGTTTAGGGAAATATATAAAAAAAGGAGGTGCCTTTTAGCTGTGTTTTAGGAAGATTTCTCACCAATAATAAACACACTGATGAAAAGCATGTGCTGAGCAAAGCTGGGCTGAAATGTCAGGACACAGTACGTGGGAGGAACAAGGCTGTATATTGAAAAAGAAATAGTTATTTCATTCTCATGGTAAACTACATTTTATTTTACAGTAAACTGTTTTCTTAATATAGTCAAGATTGACTTTTTTTTCTTTCTGCACAGATGAGTATTTTTGCTCTTCTGTTTAAATTTTGGCCAAAATTTTGTAAGCTTCAAAGCAATTTGGCTAGCGACAAAATTCTACTTGCCTTGGAGAGAAAAAAGGGAAAAAAGATGCAAAAGAAGGAAGATGGAACAGCAGAGGTAAGGTTCGCAAAGTTTCGGGTGGCAGCTGACAACCACATAAAAACTCCTTCATGAGCAAGCACACATGAATTGTAATATACCCTCAGCCTGATCCAAAGCTACCAACATCTTTTTGTTAGAATTCAAGCTTTACATGCAACCCAGTCCTAGGGCGATTAGTTCCCTATCCTGCCGATGCATATACATATGTTTAACTTGAAGCAGATGAGCCAGTGGAATACTCCTTTTGTTAAGCAGAGAGGAAAATGTATTTTAGTCATCTTTTGTGCCAAGAGAAGAGCGAAAAAGAGGGCTGAATTTAAAAAAATATAAATCTATGTATGGTCCATGTGTACAATGGACAGCATGCACTGTCGTATTTTAGAATATACAGTTCTGGGTCACTATTGAAAGCTAAACAAAACAAAACAAAACCAGATTTCATATCTATTTTTCAGAGGAAGCATTTGAAAAGTCTGCACATTATTAAAAAAAGCCCAACAAAAGTGCTAATTGCTTTGTCTTTGTCTTTTCTTGAATATTTCTCAGCTTTGACAGCGAATTTGTTAGACTGTTCACAATGAGTTTCCAGACAGTTTCAGTGTATTAACAGAACTATGACCTCTACAGAGGAATGCTTGCTTGTAAAATTGTTTTTCTTGGAATTTTGTTATTAAAATATAATGGATTTTTTTTCTATTGATTATAGGCTTTGCAAAAGTTTATTTTTTACAAAATGCAATTGTTTGGCCAGCTTTGAGGAAAGAACATTCATTTAAGGGCAGAGAAATTATTGGACTTGCAAACCATCATAAGTAGCATTAAAAGACCTGCACATATTTTAAATACCATGTACACATGTGTTGAGATGTTACTCATGATGAGAACCACATGAGTACCTGGACAGATAAAGACATATATGCCCATAAGAACATGTACACATTGTGATCCTCTTTCAGACACATGAAAACTGAGGACCAGTGAAGCATTACTCAAGGCCACACACCAGTGTCAAGTGAAGCCTAAAATCCAGGAACTCATGTTCCTTTCTCCAAAGCACGTTGCCTCCATACAGATATATCTGGCAAGGCCATTGGCAATACTTACAGTACAAGAATGCAATATTTCAAAGTAATGCACTTCTGCATTTTCACAGACTTATATTTTCCATCTGTTTGTTCCCTCTCTATAAGATTTCTGATTAAGATCAAGGAAGTAAAGAACAAATCTTGGCCAGGAGCACAAAAGCTCAGCTTTTATGGAGAGCAAACAGGAAAGGTGAATTACCCTTCTAAGCTGGGAAATAGGATAAGAAATTTTAGAAAGTGACAGGCAGAGAATGCACTTTAGTAAACAGTCTGCAGACTACTCTCACAAAAAAAAAAAAAAAAAAGAAAACCAAATACCTTGTAAAATTTCTTGAAAGAATAGGTGGAACAGGTAAGTTTTTAAAACCCTTTTCCCTTCCTGTTACTGTTTAAGGAATTTGCTATTTCCTGTTCTCTTGCCTAAGATTTCTGTCCTCTCGGTAACAAAACTATTCAACTGATTCAGTATCCCTGAAGAATACTGATAAGGTTCATCTAAAGTAAGTGATAGCAGGTTCACTTGGCATCTTGTAGAACGTGATGATTTCTTGGCATTTAAAATAATGTCTGTGCTCCCCAGTCTTGCCAGGCTCATGCTGAAGGACAGTAAAGCTCTGGCAAGGGTTAAAACCAGTATCTTTTTATATATATCCCCCCATCTCTGGCCCCACAAATCAGTTGCCATTTTGGGTTTATGTCAAACAGAAGAATGAGCAGCCTGAAAGAGAAATACTACTTTCTCTTTCCTCACAAATATGTCCCTAGGGTGCCAAATCTACCTGGGCTCACCTCAATTTCTGAACTGACAGGGTAGGAGTTGGACTTTTATGTAGTAAAACAGAAAAAATGGGCAGACAAGGAAGTTTTCACTGGACAACGATGCATGACTTAGTATGACTTAGTATTATTTGACAATAATTTTTGTGTGTGCCTAGTTGTTATTTATGGAGCAAACCGTATCAAAGGCTACCCGGCAATTGACTCAGGGCAAGGGAGGAGTGGCTGACAGCCACTCTCCCCACGGCGAGGGACGCCAACCAAGCACGGTACAACGCAAAGACCTCTTATCTGGAAAGCAGAAAGGGGTAGGTACAGGGTGAAGTAAGCTTGAATGTTCAATATAATGTGATTACTTCAGTATAGAGCTGAAATAGTTGTTTTGAAAGATACTGCCTTGGGAGAGTATGGTTTGCTTCCATTTTCACATATTTGCCCTTAGTGTGACAGAGCTATACGGACTCATCTTTGGTTCATCTGTGGATTTGTTCCTTTATTAACTGCTAGATCCACATGAAATATACTTAAAATACTTTTTACATATATCCCTCCCCCCATCCCTGGCTCCACAAATCAGTTGCCATTTTGGGTTTATGTCAAACAGAACAATCATGTTCGTGAGGGAGAAATACTACTTTCGCCTTCCTCACAAATTTGTCCCTAGGGTACCACATCTACCTGGGCTCACGTCACTTTCTGAACTGACTGGGTAGGAGTTGGACTTTCATGTAGTACAACAGAAAAAATGGGCAGACAAGGAAGTTTTCACTGGACAATGATGCATGACTTAGTATGACTTAGTATTATTTGACTATCTCAATAATTTTTGTGTCTGCCTATTTGTTATTTATGGAGCAAACCGTATCAAAGGCTACCCGGCAATTGACTCAGGGCAAGGGAGGAGTGGCTGACAGCCACTCTCCCCACGGCGAGGGACGCCAACCAAGCACGGTACAACGCAAAGACCTCTTATCTGGAAAGCAGGAAGGGGTAGGTACAGGGTGAAGTAAACTTGAACGTTCAATATAATGTGATTACTTCAGTATAGAGCTGAAATAGTTGTTTTGAAAGATACTGCCTTGGGAGAGTATGGTTGGTTTGCTTCTCCATTTTTCACATATTTGCCCTTAGTGTGACACAGCTATACGGACTCATCTTTGGCTCATCTGTGGGTTTGTTCTTTTATTAACTGCTAGACACATACTTAAAAAAGTATCATTAGTCATTTTTTGCAGACTTCCTTGATGCCAGTATCTGTAATTTGTTGTATATACAACTGCATTTTACCTCCAAAGTACATTTTGGAATTTTTACTTTCAAGTAATAGTTTCAACTTCCGCTGTAAATCTGTACTTACTCCTTCCATGCCCTTCGCAGAGAAAGGTAAAACCATAATCATTGATTTTCCTTTTCCATTATTTCCCTCACCTCTGTTTAATCTTCTTAGCAGTAAGTTTATTTGTTAGTAAGTGGTATGTCATGGGATAAGACACTGGTGCAATGTCATGGGATATGACATTGCCATAACATTGCCTAATTTATTATTCAAGACATTATTAAAGACGTCACTTAATTCACCATTCCCTAGCAAATATAAACTGCAATATATTATTATACATGCTACTGTTATATTTGCTTTGGCATCTCCATTCCATCGAGTGGGCCACAAAAGTTAGTAAGCTGGCTTCTAGAGAGAAGAAAATTGCCTGGGCAGTTCTATACCCAAAAGTCATCCTTACAGATGATGGGCTCATAGGACAGTGGGTGTGATGAGGAAGGAAAGGCACCTTTTTATAATTTTGGTATCATTGGACAGAATTTACAAAGATGCAGCCCCAGTAAAACACTAAACCAACATGAAAATGACAAATAGTTAATCACCAGACCACCTTACCAAGGGTTACAGTGCCTTGTCCTTCACTTTGAATGTTTTAAATCAGATTGCCTGTTTTCCTAACATGTATACTGTAGTTCATTCACAGATACTGGACCAAGCTGGAATTAATCATGACAAATCCAATGTTCTACATTTATACCTGAGGCCAAATTAGAGGATCACAATGGCCTCTCTGTCCTTAAAATGCATTCTGTTTCAGATCTGCCCTCTCACTTAGCTGTATTTTGGAGCAGGTATTGAATCTGAAAGGACGGTAGTCTGCAGGAGTGAAGAGGTCAGGAAACTTTGCTTAGGACAAAGAAATGCTTTTTAATCTTCTGCTACTTTTCATTATGCCAATGTGAGGAATTATGAAACTGGGCTTTACAAAACGTTACTGCATATGACACTATCTTGTTCCCAACGTTAATTTTTCCTTCCCCAGATTTAGCTTTTTACTTTAGCTCAGTAATTATAATTTCCACCTAATTATGAGTACTTCTTATTAGCAGGGTAAAGAAGGGGGGACAAAACCTGGGACAAAACCCATCAGTTTGCTAAGCAGTGCTTTCACAGATGAGACTGGTGTGAAGACAGGACAAGCACCATTTTCAGTTGGACATGAGTCACAGGTGAATAATAAACATGTTGCTATAGATGTCATCATTCAAGAGAGGGGAAATGTCTTGGAAGAATGGGAGGGTGGAGTTTGGTTTTGAATGCTACTGTCACATGGTTCTTCAATAATTATTTATTCTTCTACAACTAACTTCATTGTTATAAGTTTACTTACCTTATAGGTGATTTTTTTTTTAAGATTTAGGTTCTGAGGAGTATTACTATCCAGCAACATATTAAACTCTTTATGTGTGCAGATTTAAAGATCATTTTAATTTAAAGATAAATTGAAGACAATTAAGTTCAATTCTGGAATAAGAAGCTTTAAATTACTTGTGAATTTCATGTCCTGAAAGAATTTGGTTTAGGCTTGAGTCCTGTTCTGCTCAAATGTCAAAAACGGAAGCTGAACTCATTTAGGAAATCCAGGTACTTGAATAGAAAACCTGTCAGAAAACAGGTTTTTAGTATTCCAGAACAACTCTCATGATGTATCAAATCTGTAATGAAAAGGTAACAGTCACTTTATTGGAGAAACAGGAAGAACAGACATGCCACCTTGGGCAGATCAAGGGATCATTTATAGCTGAGTTGATACTGCCATAATGGGGAATCTGTGCAACCACATAATCACAGCTATGATGTGATGCAGGAGTAAACTGCACTTTGGTCACTCCTTGTATTCCACTGAGCTCTGCCCATGGCATTATGTTAGCGATGAGCAGAACATAGAAATAGGCAGCCTGAAATACCCCAAAAATCTGAAACCACCTTCCAAACCTCATAGTTAAGCTCACACTGTTATCCCTTAAACAGACCTTTTTACCTTTGCTCATACTTACTTTTTAAAAAAAAACAAACTTGAGTTGAGTGAGCCAGTATATCACTATCATATGTCTGAGCCCTCAAGAAGAGGCCGAAGTACAGTTCTCATACTGATTTGAGAGAGTGACCTTAAATTTACACGGAACCTGAACTGTGGTTGTTGCAATGTAAAGAGCAATTGTTCCTTAGAAAAGGGAAGGATGAGATCTCCAGTTGATCTGCCTGTAGCAGTAGCAGCATTCTGCTGGAGAGGGCAGGGAGAAATAACTGTGAGATTAATGAGAACTTTGATGATTTGAGGAAGGGCACACAGGAAGGATGTGGCAGGGAGATTAAATTAAGTCCTCAATAGCACAAAAGACTGATATTTTGGGAGGGAAAAGGCCTGCTGTATTAAGGTTTTGAAGAAAAAAGGAGAGAGAATAGCACTCAGATCAGGGATGGAGAATAAATGAATATAGACATCATATCTATCAAACTTGCTTAAATTGCCTTTCATGGTGTTTCGAGATTCACTTATTTGCAGCAACATATTTTTCTTTTTTTTCCCCAGGATTCCAGTATTATCGTGACAAAATTTCTCTTCTTAATAATTGTAATTATTCAATATCAGGGATATAACATAAACAAGATTTTTGTCTTACTGTTGAAATTGACCAGGAACTGCAAGTGATATGATCTGGAGGCTGATCATTTTTCATGGTTCTTTCAGGCTTCCTGGTCCTATTCCAAGTACATAGAAGCCTTGGAGCAGGAGAGAGTACTTCTTAAAATGCAAGAAGATCTGGAGAAAGCTTCATCATCTGTCCTTACAGCTTGTTAACCAAGCTCTGCGGTTTAGGAGAACAAGCTTGTAGCTTAGGTGAAATTCTCACAGTGTTAAGGATTTTGTTCTCCTTTGGAATTGTGGATATAAATCTCTGCCTCTCTTACGCTGTCTGCAGGGGAGTTGCTCTCTGCACCATACTTGTGAGTGACAGTAGGTTTCCTAAGAAAGGGAAAGTGAAAGTTGTAGGCTATCAGCATTGCCTTTACTGCAGAGAGGAATATGGACGTTTCTTCATTCTGCAGAGTGACATGGCAGTCCTATTTGGTTCACATACGCATTTCACCTCCCTGGCTTCTCATGCTTCATCAACTTACATACAACCAGAGAGATGCAACTTTTTTCTCACCAGTTTGTCAGTGTGCTTTGGGGGTTGTAAGAGGCATTGCTTCATCCTTGTTTCAGCTGTGAATATCTTCTTAGGTCTTCCCAAAGGATTTGATGATCTGTTTGTTCATTAAATAGCTCAATTTAGCAGTAGGGCTAGCAATAGCACTACGTAATATTAAACCCCTTCAGTTTCCCATTATTTTAATTTTCTTTTCATATGCAAATACCTCATCTATGTCCTTCCCCAAGCCTTGAAACTCTGAAAAATCCACAATTTCTCCAAAGATTAGTGTGATGTTGGAGAAACACTCAAATCTTCCCAAGAAGCAGAAAGTAAGTACCAGATGCCAACAAGCGAGCTTTGAAAACTGGGTTCTTAAAAGCTAGTTTTCCTGCTGTCAGTGCTGATGCTTATTAGTAGCAAGTTATCCCACTCCAAATCACATTTAACTGAAGCTGTACAGCCTCAACATGAAGGCAAGATCATTCTTCACTCCAGTCATGGTAAGCGGACTTAATGCTGACCAGATGGACTTTGTTGCAAAATGGTACTCTCTGAAATGCTGTTAAGTAAGCTTTCCAGTTAAAGTACTTTAAATAGGAGTGTGAGATAACTGGAGGAAGCTCAGACCCCATGGAGTTACTGGCAAAAGCTTGACACAGAACTAGTAATAGATCATCTCTGCCAAAGCCAATTAAATATTAGAATGGGAGAAAGAAGTGGGACAGCAAAGAGGTCTGATAAAGACAGAAAATGAGATTCTGCTTGAAAGCTTGAATTCCTAGATGGAACTATCCCTGGGAGGTTTTGGTTTGGTTTGGTTTTTCTTAAGCCTATGCTGAAATTAGATGGACTTGAAAAAATTAACAGAACTTGGACTATTGCTGCCCTTCCTCCTCTGCTCCTCTTTCCTCTTCTAATTCTGTACTTCAGCACTGCTATTTTAGGGAAGTTGGTGTCCTGCCCTTGCTAGTCCTCTTGAACTTCTCAGTGTCTGAACACACTCTTCCCATGGCAGCATTTTCTTTATGCGGCTTTAGAGATAACTGCAGCATTCCTAGGTTTTCCTCATGTTCTCTTATTGTCCTCCTATCACCTCCTCTAGTTAAAGTCATCCAGTCACCTTGGGTCTTATGCACCCCTGCAGGTGTTACTGTATTTCATACATTTATGCCTTTTGTACTGCAGTTCTGCTTCACACATGGCTACATCACTGTGGTGTGTCCTTATGCAGGGGCTCTGGTCCTCTTCTGTAGCTGGGAAACTTCCAGCTGTGCCCAGCGCTCAACAAGGGCCTCCAAGGCAGCTGCAGCTCTTGCTGCAGGACAACCCAGCAGTCCCTGGCCCTCCCTGTATTCAAAACCTGAAGTTGCATTCCTGCCAGCCATCAGGCTGTGCTATGGGCTAACACAGTGATAAAGTAGTGGTCTTGAGCTGTTGGAGAGGTCTCTCCCAACAGCTTCAGTTGCAACTTGCTCTGCAATACCACTGGAGATTTGCCAGCCCTGCCTAGTCCCTCCCAATAGCTTGTGTTCCCACGAGTAGTTTCCTCTTCCTCCACCATGACCCACCATGTCCTCAGCCGTGCTCTGCAGTGATCTGATCGCTCTCCTGGTAGGGTGAGGTATCTATAGATGACTACTGCTGCTCTTGATGGAGCAGCTTCTCTCCACTTTGCTACAAAGGTGTCCAGACCTTGTGTATTGGCTATAAATGGCAAGGTGCAGGCAGCAGGGGGGCTGTAGGCGCAGCCTCTGTGAGGAAAGTCAGGGGCTGCTCCATGCCAGACACAGCTTATTGCAGTCAGCTCCAATGGACCCATCACAGGACACAGCTGAGCCCCTTATGGTGGCACCTTGGGGAAATGTGTTTAAGAAAGGAAAGAAAGACAGAGAGGAGGAAGGAATTAAAAGAGTGAAAAACAACATAGGGAACACCAAGACCAGAGAAAGAGGAGGAGGTGCTCTACGGTGGAGCAGATATTCCCTGCAGTCCCGGGAGGACCCATGCTGCAGTAGAGGAAAAGAATGAGAAGAAAGAAGGGGCTTCCAGTGCCTCGCCAAAGGAAATGAGTGCAACTTGTGATAACAAGGAGAGGAGAAGAGGTGCTTGGAGTGAACTTGAACCTGGGAAAGGCAGGAAAAGTGTCTTCTCTAAGTGTGTAAATGTTTGTTTCTTCTTTTTCTTGTTTTTGTTTCCTACTACCTGAATCAGTAAGGATTTATTCTAATTGACAATATATTAATTTGCCCAATTCAGGTCTGTTTTGCCTGTGACAGTAATTGGTGAACAACCTTCATCTTGATCCGCAAGCTTTCTCTTTCAAGGTTTTTCTCTTTTCTCTCCTTGTCCTGCTGGGGGGAGTGGGGGAAGTAAGGGGGTGAGCAGCTGGGTGGGAGACTGGCTGCCAGTGAGGGTCAACACAACCCGACCTTGTTTTCCTCATTTTGATGCATTTGTTGAAGGACTGTTCTGATGATTTCAATTGGCTTCAACACAGCAATGACATTCCTTTATCTTTTGCAGTCAAATTAAAATCTCTCTGAAGGAAGGGAATGCTGAGACATTCAATGAAGGTGGTCAGGAGACACAAAATTAATGTGCATGGAAGGTTTGTCCTTACATTTCTGAAGCAAAGATGATGACCTGGAATATTATTAAGAACCATGTGACATTAGTCAGGGGTAGAAAATAAACATCTTCCAGTGTGTTCCATATCAGCATGATTGTGATGCTGACTCTTGTGTTACTTATTTATTTAACACTACACTTTGAGGTTCAAATTAGAGTAAGATTCCACTGAAGTATGCATGGTACAAACAACTAAGCAGTCTTGGGCCTAAAGATCTTATAATTAAACCCAGTTCTTCAGTGTGTGATCTAATGAATAAGTGAAACACTGCACTGAACTGACATCCCTGAAGCTGTGTCTTGGCACACTATGATCTCAGTACTACTATTCTCGCAACTTCTGTTCATCAAAGATAACTCAAGAGGTGTCTGAGCTATCATAAAATCAAATGCTGTTGTGGTTTATTCCCAATCCTGTCTGATTTCTGGTCTAAAGTACATCTGCTTCATTTCTAGTTTTGATCCACCTGAAAGGCATAAAATACATTAGGGGACAAATGTGATTGAGAACTTTTGTAAAATGTCATTAGTCCCAAGGTATTGCTTACCAGAAGGTTGCAGGAGCTCTTAGTGCTTGTGCAGCACTCTACTTTCTTGCTTCTTTTCACAATTTTAAGAGTTCAAGAAAGAAATGGGTTAGAGTTTATGTTGGGACTAGGGCCAAAGGATTAATTGGGAAGTTAAGAGGGGACAGGGGCAGAATTAACTGCTAGGCAGGGGACAGGATGACGATAGACCTCTCCACATTTTCCAGACCACTTTAAACACCAGTCCCTAGCCACAAAGTTGTTGGCTCCATTCATCTCTACATATGTGTAACGCATGTAAGAAAAAAGGCACTTCAGTGAGCTCCAGCTTGCTGAGTCCCTGAGGACTACTCCTGTGTTATGGATGGGATTGTCTTCCGTTATCCCTCTCAACCTCTTGGGCAATGAGAATGAGCCATGCAGCCCTGTCTCAGTTGTCAAAAATAAAGTTTTTTAACTTGGAGCTCTTAGACCATACTGCTAAGGACCATTCATGAGTGCTTTCCTTCTCAGTGTGAAGTGGCAGCTGACTAATTGTCTTTTTATTTTTGACTCTTGACACAATGACCAAGAGTTGTATGGGATTTCCATCAGGAGTCACTTCAAACAGACTGTCAGGGAAGAAAGACATTCTCTTTTATGGAAATAGCTGCCCTGCTCATACATCCTTGCAGAAGGAGCAATGGAGGTAATTGGTTCAGTTCCTACTTTCCCCACAATCTGCAGAGTTTGCTTCATGCTTATCCCCATTCCTTCGGTGTTTGGATTGTTTGCTTGTGTGATATAACCTGAGAAAGATGTCTTGGGTAGAAGCCACAAGAGAGTAAAACATAAAATTCTTGTCCCCATTTTTCAGGTTTTCCCAAAATTTAACAGAAGCAGTAAACTTTAATGCACAGTATGTATGAAGAGGGTGGAATGTAGCATCTTGTAGCGAGTAGAGCACATGTGGTACTGTGTGGCCTACCACTCATTAATGTGAAAGGCAAAGAAGAATCATGAAATACCATAAATGCAGTGATGTATATCAGTCTAAAAAACATGTGAAAGGCCACCTTCTACTGCTGTGGTCAGAACAGTGCACGCAACCAAATGCTGTAGCTCAGCAGTCAGTTTCAGTTTTGTTGTATTCTTGCCTTTGTGGCATTTTGAGACAAATAATATGTAGACAGTGCTTATCTTATGCTGGTAGCTTTGACTTGAATCATACTTGGTTTACTTCTAAAATGAAAAATATTACTGAGATATTGTCACAGATGATGAAACCAAGTCTTTGTGAATATGTTCCAGCCTTGCCAAATTGTTAATGAAAATTTACCAGCCCCCACGCAAAATCTACTGTCCCAGACAGTTACTATGATTAATACCATACACATCTATCAAACTTAAAACCAAAGGAAAATAAAAGTACTTTCTGTACTTCCATGAGAGAGTAAAATTTCACAAACTGGCTCTATGCACTCAAAGTTCCGCAAACCAATGACAACCTTCAATCCAGTTTGCAGTTCTGTCTCCATGTTAACTAAAATATATATGCATGTATATACGTGTGCATACACACACACATGCACAGTCACTTATAGCCCATGTCTCTAGTATGCCACTGAGGAGGATAACATGTATTAGTAATGCTAGAGACACAGGTCATACCATTATGCCAATTTAATGTGTTAATTTCAAAGAAGTATTGAGCAACTGGACAAGGAATATATTAAGAGACTTGGACCCTTTCATTTCTGGGTTACTGAATCTAATCTGATGCAATGGTAAATACCCCATAACTGCTATTTGGTGATACATCTGTAACAGAACCATGGTTTTAGTCTCGTGCTGAGAGAGCAAGTAACGACTACTGCCAGTTCCAGCACAGAGTTTGAGAACAGGTACAGAGATTAACTAAACCTTATTGTTCTAAATGAAGACTCCCTTCAGAAAGCCTGCACTCCTACTGCCTTTTTACCTTGTTCTTGAGAAATATTCCCTGTCAGGTTGCTGATCTACATCTATATGAACTCAGCAGTTCTAAAGGGGTAGAAAGTTTTATTCAACGATTCTCATACCTCTCCTTTTAGATAACTGTTATTCCTTGTTTGTTTTAACTATGTATACTTTGGGAGTTTCAGAAGTCTATAGCAGAGCAACAGTTCTCTGTGGAGTTTGCTCCTACAGACAATAAAAACAATTCTTTTTCCAGAAACCTGCAAACCTAGAAACAATTCTAGGTAAATTTATGCTTTAGTGGCATTCAAAATACACAATCCAATCACATTCATTCAAACTTACTTCTGTTGTTTACTCCAAAGCAATGCAACATCTTGGGACTATTTTGGATTTTGTTTAAGCCATCACTTGGATTTTTAAATATTTATGCTTAGATGCTAGTAGTGTGTATTTCACTTTTCTCCCATCAGACTTGGCATGTTTATTAAAACATTTTATAATCTTTGAGGGTGCAGTCCTGATGCTGCTCATGCAAATACTGTTGGTATCAACACAAGCCGTGCCTATGCAACTCAGGAAGAGGCTTTATACATTTTGCCTTGACTTCTGTCTTGCTACTGCATGGCACAAAGTATCAGACTAAGATGAATTCCTGAAAATATGTAGCACTGGATTATGTTATTAAGGTGCACACTTACACATTTATGACAGTGGTAGTGGTCATTTAAAACAGGGAAACAGGGCAAAATGCTTTCTCATTTGTATCCGTAAAATGCTGGTTTTGCCATTGCCTCTGTACTCCTCAAGTTTTCTTTTGAGGTGTGCTTTCTTGAAGTACTATTAACAGGGAATGGTCTTAAAACTCTAAGTAAGTTGTGAATTCATTTGTCCCTTCCAAGGTGTGGAAATCTCGTATTTAATCATCAGGCACTGAGACCAATGAATGCAGAGAGGTACTTTGCAGACACAGCAATAGACCAGGTTCAGCAGACTGAGTTTCTATGTACTGGTTCTCTTATTATACAGTACTGGGTGGCCAAGGCTAGACTGGTTTGTGACACACCTTCTATATCTTTTACGTGAGAAGAATCAGTGTGACTTGCTTTGCAAATAAGATTGACTTAAAATAAAGAGAAACCTGAATTAATAAAGTCTGCAGATAAAAGCACCAATGAACTGGGTATTTTCATAAATGCAGGGCGCTCGGTTTCCTGCTGAGTACTGGAAAATGGCAGGTGTCCATTGCTCCTTCTGTGCTTTTAGCCTTGTGTGGTATCACAGACATGGGGACATTTTCTATCCTGTACCACTCGCATGCTTGTGAAATAGCCAGCCTCAGTCCCACCCAGTGCTACTGCTCTAGTCAGAACTATTTACTTTAACTTATGTGTGTGTAAAAACGATTGAAAAGAGACCAGGTGTTTCAAAGTTCTCTCCCAAACTTGGAAAAGAAAATCCTTAAATTATTTATGTTTCTAATGTTAATAATGGGCCATGCTGATCACTGTGCAGCTGTATGCGGCCAGTGGAGCTGCAGAAATCCAGCTTGAATTTAACCTGTTTGAACTGTGCAATTACATTCAACAGAAGATTTTTGTTACTGCCTTTTACAGAAATGCTTTTAGTCAGTCACTGTGAATCATGTCTGAATACAGCTAAGATGGGGTTAACTGGTATTTATTTTTTAAGCTTATGGAACATTGCTGGGTTCAATACATTCAGTAGCTGCTGTAAAAATGTTAGGGAAAGACAGGTTTGAACAAAAATTTTAGATCTGAATCTGTGCTCACAGTTCAAGCCTACCTCTAATGACCTGATCTGGAGCATACCCAGGATTTCAGAGAGTTATAATTCACATCTGTGTTTCTAACTCCTTCATGCATGATTGTTTGAATGTGCACATTTGGAACAGGTCCACGTCTAACAGGCTAAATTGTAGTTCCCAAATCAGAAGCCACATGGTATTGCTATGTAGTTTTTCATTTTCCCTTTTATTACATAGCCTTCAAATAAGGTTCTGCCAGTCCAGCAGATTGGATTAACACAAAATACCGAAGTCTACATTTTCTGCCTACCTGCTAATGAACTCTCACATTCTGATTTCTACCAGTGATTTGAGAAAGCCTTTGCACAATGGCCACTCCACCAAGTAATAATTAATCAGAGTGCTGGAGCAGACTGTAATGATGCAGGACCCACCAAGCTGTCCTAGTATGGTAAGGGTAGTCAACGCACAGATCTCTTATTTTTAAGATTCATGGAGCCAAGCTAATTTATATGTCGAGCACAGGCTGCATTTACTTGGATTTCCCTCTATTTCTCTACTAACTGAAATATTTTAGTTTCATGGTAACATATGTGAAAGCGTTGACAACAGTATTGCTTATTCCACATGTTAATTATGTATTTGTTCAGAGTGCGCATTTCTCATGTTAAGATTTCATTTCATGTCAAAGGAAAAGTTGAAATGTAGTTAAGTGGATTTGTGCTTTTAATTTTAGATTAAAATTATAATTTTTTTTTTCTTCTAAACCAATCTTGTACATGATTCCTCTGTACCATATGCATTTGAAAATCTGGTGTTGGCAAGAAGTTTAAAAAGAAAGTAATATTCAC